CTGTCTGTCAGGAAGCTGGTGATCCACTGACAGATGGAGGTGGTACAGAGAGCAGTGTCAGTTTATTCTGAAGGGTATCAAGATCCTTGCATAAGTCCCTGGTTTGTCCAGATGTTGGAGAATGTAGTGCAATCCCATATTGACTGCATCATCCACAGACCTGTTTGCTCGGTAAGCAAGGGTCCAGTAATGTCCTTCATGTGGGCCAACACCAGTCTCTCAAATGTCTTCATGACCACAGATGTTAAAGCAACAGGTCTGTAGTCATTAAGTCCTGTGATTTTTGGTTTCTGGGGTACAGGGATGATGGTGGAACATTTGAAGCAGGAGGGGACTACACACAGCTCCAGGGATCTGTTGAAGATCAATGTGAAGATGGATGATCGCTGGACAGCACAGGTTATTGAGGTAATTGAATGTCTAAAGTGTTACCAAAAGTTTTAAAGGTTAGAATGCCACATATATTTACTATAGAAATAAATAATAATAAAAAAAAACATGCTAGCAACATGCTAATCATGCTAGAAAAATGTTAGTGACATGCTAGTAACTTGCTAATCATGCTAGAAACATGCTAGTCACTTGCTAATCATGCTAGCAACATGCTAGTAGCATGCTTATAATGCTAGCAAAATGCTAGTAACATGCTAGTGACATGCTAGTACTTTGCTAATCATGCTAGCGACATGCTAGTCATGCTAACAACATGCTAGTTACGTGCTAATCATGCTAGCAACATGCTAGTTACTTGTTAATCATGGTAGCAACATGCTAGTAGCATGCTAATCATGCTAGCAACATGCTAATCATGCCAGCAATATGCTAGTAACAGGCCAATCATGGTAAAAACATGCTAATCATGCTATCAACATCTGTCTAATCTATTTAAATTGTCAAACTTCAGGCTTTTACAACTGCTTTAAACTTTCAGGCTAGGCTTTCTCAAGCCAACCTAAAGTTTGCCTTGACAAACTTTTTTTTTTTTTATCTAGTTACGCTATTGTAATTATTTATATAGGTTTTAAAAGCATTTTATAGAAGACAAAAACGTTAAATGGCTCCTTAATCTCAAACACGCACGTTAAGGAAATGATATTTGTTTGTTTGTTTATTTATTTTCATTTGTTGTTTATTCTAGGCGTTTTGTATTTGACCGCTTTTCTCGCGTTTCATTATTTTCAGTGCCGTACTGCAATGCATGCTGGTAAATGTAGTCACCAAAAGCGTCAAAAATGGTGGATGTTCAGCCTCCGCCTTTCCGAACCCTGGACGATTTTCTGCTGGGTTCGGCCCGATTCTCGGTGCCTGATGTCCGTAACTTAGATCGGTGGAACAACCGGATCATTAACAACCTGCTGTATTACCAGTCCAACTATTTTGCCTCCGCGGTGGCATTTCTGCTCGCAGTCGGGTAAGGAAACCTATTCACTGTTCTTCTGTCAGCCGAACGGGTAACAACACTTGTGTTGTGCTCTGTATTAAATGCAGTTTTACTTTGTAGTGTGCATGCTAGCAACATGCTAGTAGCATGCTAATCATGCTAGCAACATGCTAATCATGCCAGCAATATGCTAGTAACAGGCCAATCATGGTAAAAACATGCTAATCATGCTATCAACATCTGTCTAATCTATTTAAATTGTCAAACTTCAGGCTTTTACAACTGCTTTAAACTTTCAGGCTAGGCTTTCTCAAGCCAACCTAAAGTTTGCCTTGACAAACTTTTTTTTTTTTTATCTAGTTACGCTATTGTAATTATTTATATAGGTTTTAAAAGCATTTTATAGAAGACAAAAACGTTAAATGGCTCCTTAATCTCAAACACGCACGTTAAGGAAATGATATTTGTTTGTTTGTTTATTTATTTTCATTTGTTGTTTATTCTAGGCGTTTTGTATTTGACCGCTTTTCTCGCGTTTCCATTATTTTCAGTGCCGTACTGCAATGCATGCTGGTAAATGTAGTCACCAAAAGCGTCAAAAATGGTGGATGTTCAGCCTCCGCCTTTCCGAACCCTGGACGATTTTCTGCTGGGTTCGGCCCGATTCTCAGTGCCTGATGTTCGTAACTTAGATCGGTGGAACAACCGCATCATTAACAACCTGCTGTATTACCAGTCCAACTATTTTGCCTCCGCGGTGGCATTTCTGCTCGCAGTCGGGTAAGGAAACCTATTCACTGTTCTTCTGTCAGCCGAACGGGTAACAACACTTGTGTTGTGCTCTGTATTAAATGCAGTTTTACTTTGTAGTGTGACTTAAATGAAAAAAAAAAAAGGTTAGGCTATTGTTATATCATTATAAACATTCACATCTGTTTGGAGTTTCAGTTTTAATTATTAATGCAAATATGTTTAAATGTCTTTGATAGGTTTATAAAAGACGTTGTTTTGTTGCCAATCTGTCACTAACTAGACAGTTATGAAGCAGTAGCCTAATCATGTTTACAAACCCATCCCAGGTTAAGAAACAATTATCTAATCCATTTCAGTGGCCCGGCCGTACCTATTTACTATTTATTTGAAATGTACAAAATAAATTAATAGCTTGAGCAATGTGTATAAAAAGGCTATAACAGTGCGATTTTTTTTTTCGTGGACGACAATTGTCTGCACGATCTGCTTTTGAAGAAATATCGTTATATCACAGCGCGCATTCGGCTGCTGTTCTTCAGATGTTACTCAGCGGCAGAGTTTCACTCACGGGGCACTGCACTTATTCGCAATCACAAAAGTAGATTTGCATGCGCTTTAAAGCTGGTGTTCTGAGTGGCGCGTTTCCATAACAGATTTGCGCAAAACTTTGGCGATATTTCGAAAAAGCCGTTTCCATTGCAGTTTTGCGAATTATTCCTTTTTCGCATTGCCTGAAAAACCACCTCATGCGAGCGTAAAAACTTTTTTGCGATATATGGCCGTTTTTGCGAAATTGACGCGTTTCCATTAGGCGTATTTTCAATTCGCAATTTCAATTTGCGCAATTTGAAGGGTAATGGAAACGCGCCTACTGTCTGAGATTTTCTGTTACACCGGGCGGAGTTTAGCTACATGAATATTCATGAGTTTCCTGTTTCGCGTTAAAGCGCTACTAATGTTTCACTTTAAAGCGCTACTAATGTTTCACTTTGAAAGCCTTTAAAACAACAACAACAACAAAAAACTGGTATAAATGTATCTTTGGCGGCATAATAAAGTTTCAGTTGTGATAAATACTGTATTTCCTTATTGCATTTGGTGGCCTACATAACTTCAACCAGACTTTTGTATTCAATTAAATTAATGTAATGTTATTAATGTTTCAGTTATTTCAAATATAAACATTCTTAATGTTTTCCCGCAAAACACACAATGCTCTATATGGTTAGAGGCATAGATGGTAAGATGGTAAAATGAGCAACCATGCTTTACATTTCACAATATTTTAATCCTATTCTGCAAGCTTACCTAACAATTAAAAAGTTAACATTTTAGTTACATGTGAATGAAATAATAAACCACATGTAAAAGATTAAAGTCACTCATGATGGTATTTTTAATTTATGAATAGAATAAAGAGCAACATATTATTCACATATGTGTATATGCAAGACATGACATACTTGACAAACGTTTATGCCTGGATTTCAACAGGCATATACACACTGTTGTGATTATTCTCTGCCATTGCATAGTCTCAGACTCATTATTTAGATAATAGCTTTAAATTCCAAAGATAATGCAAGAACCTTTTTTGATCATTTTCTTCTGACCAGGTAACCAGGTAAAAAAAAAAAAAACAACCTACCCAACTTTCATTCAAAGTTATGATTCCATTTATAGTTTTATAATTAAAATAATAATAATAAAAAACACAACTACAACAACATTCATAATGAGTATTTTTGAAGCCAACAAGCAATATATTTTTTTCTAAAATCAATTTTATACCATGGTCACCTTAGTTCAAATCACATAAAGACCCATTTGTGTAAATGATTGGGTGATGGAGACCAGTTCTGGACAATTACATATGTAATCTAATGTGTGATGTCAAACAATTTAACATACGAGGCAACAGACAGGGTAACATAACAAGTTAACAACCAATAAGTCAGTGCAGTGTTGAGGCACGAGACGGATGAGGCAAAAGTCAAAGTCCTTGCTGATTTCACAAGGTTTGCAAAGCTACCTGAAGGTCTTTCCAGACATGAATAAAAAAAAATCATATTTCTTAGAAGGGCTAAGAGCTTCATTATTGAAAGTGAGTATTTGAAATACACCTGGGTTCAGTGGCTTCAATGATTGTCTATAATGATCGATCACAACTTTATACTACTTTTTAGATGAAGTGTTGTATTATGTTTGCAAAGAAGGGACATTGGCAGAAGTGATCAGCAGTAAAAAAAAAAGTGCCCAAGAAATTTAAAACAAGTTCCACAGTAGCCCAATATGTGCACACTGTGGCCCTGGTGCCATTAGAAGGTGCTTTTTATTGTCCTGGCATGTCTGTGGAGTTTAAATATGTGAATCCTTCCACAGGTGTTGATACTAAACATTTGCATTGTTCTTGATCAAAACAGGTTTTTCCAATATATTTTATATCACACACTGTGCTGCCTGCCAGAGAAAACAATGTTCTCTGAAAAATCGAAATGAATATAAATGATTTTTTTTAAATAATATATACAAGGAATGATGGATTATATATGTGATGACAAATATAATGTATATCACATTGATTTCCACATGCAGAACCGCTTGATGATCTGTGCTTGAGAACAATATCCCCACACACAAGACCAAGTAGACACTTGGGTGTGTTAGGATGTGTTTCTTTCTTTCTTTTTAACATTACAGTGCATTTTTAAACTTGCAAGATATGTTCATTTGTGTGTGTAAATCTAATTTTGTTTAGATCGAATGTGATTCTTGAAAAGGCTGGTATCACTGGGACTGCATGAGCAAGTCAGGAGGCAGTTTTTATTTGTCCTGGATGTAAGGCCCTGTGTAAATTTTGTATGTTTGATTAAATATGTTGTTTTTTTATATTTTGTCTTTTTCATGCAAACATTTCTAAATAAAACTTTAACGCAAATTCATTCAATCTCTTTGTTGTGTTGTTCAGCATGATTTTTTTTACAGTAGTAATTAGGTTTACAGTAAATGTGCAAACTAATATATGGGATATTACTTTAGCTACTTAATTTGTGAAAATCACAATTTTGTTGTGTGAATCAACATAAAAATTTGTTACAAGTTATACCAGCTATAAGGAATGTGAAAGATGGAATATGATGCAGAATCACAACTGAAACGTTATTATCCCAGATACAGGTATACATTTATATAAATTACCAAATAAAACCGTTTTATAGACCCAAAATGTAAAAAAAAGTATATAACAAAAATACTTAACGGCTGTTGGCTTTACTTGGTGCGCATCCTAATGATAAACTGGCTGTAAACATCAAAATCAAACATAACACAGGACACAATGATAATATACAAACTGTTGTGATAAATGAACGGTGATAAAAAAGAAGATTAACTTAGCTTGACACCGAAACGCTTTCTGTGATCCGCACTAATATTTTAAGTGGTGCTTTAACTCGAAACAGGAAACTCATGAATATTAATGTAAACTCCACCTGGTGTCACAGAAAATCTCACATACCGAATATTTCAGAACACTGGTTAAACATTTCATTCGCATATAATCCCTCACTGCTCTTGACCGAAGAACTTTAAAGGGGTCATATGATGTTGCTAAAAAGAACATTATTTTGTGTATTTGGTGTAATGAAATGTGTTTATGCGGTTTAAGGTTCAAAAAACACATTATTTTCCACATACTGTACATTATGGTTTCTCCTCTATGCCCCGCCTTTCTGAAACACGTCGATTTTTACAAAGCTCATCGGTCTGAAAAAGCGAGGTGTGCTCTGATTGGCTAGCTATCCAGTGCGTTGTGATTGGCCGAATACCTCAAGTGTGTGACGGAAATCTTACGCCCCTTAACATACTGTGATGCTGTGTCTCCCGGCGCGACGAGACAGAACCAATAAAACCCATTATAAACAGGGCATTTGTTGTTTAGTCTTTGCAACTTTACAGATCTTCTTTATGCACCAAGAGCTTGTAACACTCCAAAGAGAAAGGAAAAAATGAAATCGCATCATATGACCCCTTTAATAAAACTTTACTAAGAATCAATGTATAATTTATACAGTGGAGTATATACAGTATAGGCCTAGTGTTTTGTTTTTATATTTGTTCATTCAGTTTCTTGAATGCCACTGTTAAATACACCTACTGTACCTGAAAAATAAATCACTGTTTGTTTTATTTGCATATTATGTGTATTATGTATATCTTTGTCCTTAGATTTTTATCTTCACCCACTTTGGCCTAAATGTCTGCAATTCTGTTTTATTTGATATTTTGTTATCTTATATTGGTTTTTAAAATAGGGAAGTTAGTTACTGTTCAGACAACTTGCAAAATAGTAAAACCAACATGTGATTTTCCTCGCCCATCCTGCTGATTATCATTACATGTGTCATTACATGTTTATTTATTTTATTTATATTTTTCATTTGTCCGTGTTATTGTGTCATAGGTATTTCCAACCACTCCAGCTGATTCTTGGGGCAACAGTTGTGATCCTTCTGTTCTTGGGGTTTGTCTGGGCGGCTGAAAACAAGGCCGTAATCTGACGATTCCGGAGAAATCATCCATCGCTCGCCCTGGCTGCAATTTTGGGCTCCAGCTACCTTCTTCTGTCTGTTTTAGGAGGGGTAGCTGTTTTCCTCTTTGGCATTGCCTCCCCCATTTTAAGTTAGTATTCTTTCTCATTTGTCTTTGTTGTTTTGATAATATTTTGCATGTACTGTATACATGAATTTACTGATAGCTTAAGCAATGTGTATTAAATGGCTGTAACAGTCCTTTTTTTGACTTTTTCTCCTCGTAGTGATCCTTATCCATGCTTCAGTGAGAATCCGGAGCCTTAAGAATAAACTGGAGAATAAGCTGTAGAGTATAGGATTGAAGAGGACTCCTATGGGCCTGCTGCTGGAAGCACTGGGACAGGAACAAGAGGCTGGATCATAGCTGTATTAACTATAACCTAACTGTCCTATCGCTCACCCCTTCTGGAGCTTCTTACATGTCCTTAAAATATGTATGAAAACAGATATTGGCAAAACATGTATGGCATATTGCTAAAGTCTTTCAGAAATGCAGGAAGGGCCCAGTGGACAGGATTAAATTATAATGCAGTATATGAAGGATAGCAAAAAGTAAAGCAAGAAGTGAGATTACAGGATCAGGTGTGTATAACTATAGATGCTCAAATATAAAAACCGCAATATAATGCCTTGTAAATAGGATGTAGGTTAGTGTTATTCAATTCACATTTTTGCTTCATTCTATGGATTTAATTGTGCCTACACTTTATTCCATCCCTAAATGTGCTTGATTTTGTCAATTGTGTTTGAAGGATGTCTCTTTGCCTGTTTGTTACATGACCAAATATTATTTTTACTGATTGTTTTGAGTTTTATTTAATGTTTCAAGTTGTTTCAATGTTTACAAGCTGTTTTCACTCTTACAAAGTGCCAAGGTAAAGACTTCTCTGTCATTGCAACACAAATTAGTGATCAAGAAAATTAATCATGTTTACATTAATGTGGATTGTGCATCACAAATTGGCATTGTTGGGCAAAATGATCTTATTTTAAGGAGAGATACGAACTGTAGTCATAGACATAAATGATCTAATAAACATTCATCTTAATATCTTTGAAGGTGTAACGGACCACAGATTTGGCCGATTCAGAGAAATATGACACTATGCTAATTCTTACTTTATTTGAGGTAGGCTATTTAATATGTTTGAAGATCATTGCTTAAGTGTTCATTCCATCCAAAAAATGAAGGCATTTGTATTTCCTGCATATTTAATGTTTACAACAGCAGCTGCCTTGTATTTTCAGGAAGTGCTCGTCCATTGCAATGGTTATAATAAATCAATTTTCATATATCTGCAGTCTTTGCGTCTGCTACCGCTTAGAGGCGCTGTGATCATTAAAATTAATTTTATAATAGGGATGTGACTCGTAAAGTTTAACTTCGTTTCATATTCTGTTTTTCTTTTCCTTCGATTAAAAAATAGTTTACTTGAAGTAACTTTAGAAATATTAGGTTAGCATGCTCCAAGGCACCCAGAAATGTCCTCGTGTCTCCACCGCCCTATTGAAAGGTTTGAGCACAATCATCCCCTTTAACCGGCTCACATGAGTTAATCCTGCATTCACGGTTTACCGCACCCGAGACCTGCGCTCACACGGGGAGAGATTAGACATTTGTATTCTTTAATGAGTTTTACATATAGAACAATCCACGTGTTTTTATTCGTGTAAATACATTTAAGAAAAATGTTTTGGTCTTTGGACCTAGCTTTTAAATTCCGTCTTTGGAGTCGCTTGCTTTCAGTGCAGCGCGCGTGAGCTGATTCACCTGCTCGAGACGCGCTTCCGCCCGATAGATATTGTCAGTAGATATGAAAGGTGTTGTAAATTATTGTTTCACATGAGTTCGTGGGAATAAGCAGCAGACGGTGTTGAAGAAGTCGTGGACATGGATGCGGTACCGAAAGGTGAGTGATCGGACAAACACCTGCACTGAAACACTGCCAACACAGTAGATGACTTCCATCATTCAACTCAAATAATAAACAGGTTATTGACAAATTACATTTTACATTTTAAAATTCAAATATAGAAGTTAGCCCATATATTTTGGTCGCAGTAACCATTTTAAAAATGTTTAATTACATGTTTGCATTTGCAGTTCATATCCTTGCATCCTTGCAATAGATAGAGATACTGTGAGATTATAGATAGATAGATAGATACTGTCAGATTATAGATAGATAGATAGATAGATAGATAGATATGCAGTGTAGGTCAAATGCAACTTATATGCAGGTCATTGGTTTTGAAGAGGCTGCCAGAAGACTATTTTTTTAATGCATAATGTTTATTAAACATCATAGGCTCTAAATGTTAGAAACTGATCACATAAATCTCACTGGATGCTAAATTATCTTTGCTCTTATTGCCTTTATAGTTCAGCTTGAACACTTATTTTGTGGTCACTTTTGTGTTTTGAGATGTGAGTTGATCTCAAGAGTTCACCCAAAAATGTAAAATTTGTCATCATTTATTCTGAACACATATGAACACAAAGGAGAATTTTTGAATAATGTGCTGGTGCTGGTTTGTAACTTGTCAGTTTGGTCACACTTTATTTTGGGGACCAATTCTCACTATTAACTATCAACTACAACTTTTGCCACAATAAACTCCTAATTTGCTGCTTATTAATAGTTAGTAAGGTCGTTGATAAGTTTAGGTATGGGATAGGATTTAGGGATCTAAAATATGGTCATGCTGAATAAGGCATTAATATGTGCTTTATAAGTACTAATAAACAGCCAATATGCTAGTAATATGAATGCTAATAAGTAACTAGTTAATAGTGAGAATTGGCCCCTAAACTAAAGTGCTAGGCTACTGTCAGCCCTCATTCAAGATATATATATATATTTTTTTTTTTTGAGTGAAGTTATCCTTTAATATTTAAATTAGATGGAGATGATTTGTTGGCAACATAGTTTTAATAAGAAAACCCTTTATTTCAGATGGGGCCAGTTTGGCTGACCCCAGCAAGACGGACACACTCAACTCAACGGGTTCAGCAGGGCAAAGGAGAGCTGGAGGAACCAAGAAGCACACACAAGCTAACAAATCAGCCCTTCGTGCACCCAGAGCTCTGTGCTGCCTCACTCTCAGCAACCCTATACGCATGGCAGCACTGGCCCTGGTGGAGTGGAAATATCCTTTTGCCCAATGTGTGTGTGTGTGTGGCCGCACTGGCCCTGGTGGAGTGGATATATCCTTTTGCTGTGTGTGTGTGTGTGTGTGTGTGTGTGTGTGTGCAAACCTTGTGCATTCTCTTGTATGATTTCAAGACAGTTGTTTCCTTAACCTTAGACCTTTAAGCCTTTTGATATATTCATATTATTGGCCATCTTTGCTAACTGTGTTGCCCTTGGTGTGTCCAAACCATTTCCTGAAGATGATTCCAATGCCACCAACCACAATCTGGTGAGTGTGCATTGTTAACATTACCATGATCTGCCACAGTGAGTGAAGACTGATTTCCCCAGCAACAATACATCAAACCACATAATATACCTCTGTGCTCCACCCAAGCACATTCAGCTACTGACATTCATTCATATATATATATATATATATATATATAAGCATGCTCATACTTATTGTAATGCCTAAATTCAGCCATAACATTGAAATACATCCTATTTCTATCTATATATTTTTTCTATACAGTCTGTTGATATTTATAACACTTTTCAATAGGGTTTCATTTGTTAATAATAATAATAAACTTTATTTTGTATATTATATTTATTTATATAGTGCCGTTTAAAAGTTACTTCTCAAAGCTCTTTACACAGAAAAGGATACAGAGTTAAAAGTAAAAAATAAGTGCAATGATAACCATAGAAATAAAAACAAATCACATATAAGCAAGTCTAAAAAAGGTGAGTTTTAAGAGAGGATTTAAATACACTAAAATATTTTGCATGTCTAATATCATAGGGAAGAGAGTTCCAGAGTTTTGGAGCAAGGGAAGAAAAAGCCCGGTCACCCATAGAGCGTAAGCGATCACGCCTAAAAGTGTAGACAGTTAAATGTTCAGATAGATAATGAGGTGCCAAGCCATGCAAGGCCTTATAAGTAAGCATAAGAATTTTAAAATCTATATGAAACCTGTATAGGGATATAGGGATATAGAACAGTATAGGGATCCCAAAATTGGAGTGATGTGCTCTCTAGTTCTGGTCCCTGTCAGGATTCTAGCATTAGTTAACATTAGTTAACCTGAACTAACAACAATAAGATTAATACAGCATTTATTAATCTTAGTTCATTTAATAAATTTTTAGGATTAAAAATTGTATCTGTTAACATTTTTTATTGCACTGTGAACTAACATGAAAATGAATTTTATTATTAACTAATATTATTAGCAAAGGTTAATAAATGCTGTAAAATATATTGCTTATTGTTACTAATGTTAACAAACGAGACCTTATTGTAAAGACTATGCAGTATATATAGACCATTCATTACATGAATATGTAATGTTTTTTGAGCATATGCTAACGTTTACACTGAAGCGTAAACCATGACTAGTGACAGAACATTTTGTCACACACTTGATTTCCACTACTGCAACATCACACTTGTTAGTCCCATCCACTGTGAAATCTCATTGGTTCAAAATCTTGTGCAACATACAATAACTGCATGTTGTCCAGCGGTTTCGTGTTTAGTCAGACTTTTCGCATTGCACCAGGTTAGGACACAGTGTTGTTATGGAAAGTACCCTGGCTGAACAACACATCTGTGATAGTTTTAAATGAATGATCTGCCTGTGAAACTGAGGGTATCCAATAAAAAGAAGGCTACTAGGTCCTTTAGGGCTGCCAATGTTCGGTGCAACACTATAATTGCATTAGGCTTGAAGTTTGACTGACAGCTCTGAATACCAAACAGGATAAGAGTATTGACCATCTGTTCTCTCACTATGGCCACTCGCTCATTGCCCTTAAATGTGATCTACTCTCTGACTGCATATTTAATATAGACAATAATGATTCCAACAAATCGTCATGCTTGTTGTTTTTAGATTGCTTCCGTGCTTCTGTTTCTCTTTTTTTTGTCTGTTTTTTATTTTTCTTACACAACAATGTCCGTCAGGATTTAAGTTAAGTAACTCTTACAGTTTGCTTATACTGTCATTTCCAAGTTAGCCATGGTGTTGTACTGATGTCTGTTGAGTCAGTAGTGTCTGCAGTGTACGGATGAATAGCTGGTATTAATGTGTGGGATACCTGGAGCACCTTCAGCTTTATCTCAGTACTGTGGGTCAAGAGGGCAGAAAGCTAATGAGCTCAGCAATGTGTGTTAAGGGAAAGTAGGTGAAAGGGAGAGAGTGATTGTGCGTGTGTTTTAAAATCAGATTTATTCAAGCATACATATGTAATTAACAGTAAATAAGCTCCCTCTAGTGCTTATAGCTAACTAACCAATTGTGAACACTGGATGACTTTCCTGAAGTACATGCAACACTAAGCGATATATTGTTCACAAGCTGTTTTGTTTGATGTCTTTCTTTCGATTGAAACGCTGTTTGAGTGATTACATGAGACATGATACTAAGTTGTACTGTCTCTTTCAACGTACCTTCTGATGTTCATTTATGTTTATTTCATTCTGTAACTTGTAATAAAGTGGAACAGACTCATGTGATCTGTCACGCCACATTTAAGAGCATCAAAATGGCATATATTTTTTATTTTGTGATAAAATGTACAGGATTTGAAAACTTGGACTTTGTTTCTTATCAGAAGTAACAAAGCACAAAGCTCTTTGCGATTATTGGATGGAAGGCAGCACATTACAAATAATCTTTGATGCAGGGAAAACCGCAGATCTGGCAACCCTGGCTTAAACCACAGGTGATTCATAGGGTCAAATAGAACCCGCGTTATTATTGCTTTAACTTGGACAGCCCTAAATTTGACACAAGAAACATTTTCTTCACTCAGGCTGCTGTCTGACACGTTTTTCCACCACGTTTGACAGGATATAATCGGCCCTGATCATCAGCTGTTTTTAAACAATCGGCCAGTTGCCGATAGTGCAAATAATTGCTTTAATCAGCCAATACCATTTATTGGCCGATACATTGGTGCATCTCTAATATATATATATAAATATATAAATATATATTAAATGCACACATATTTGATTTTAGGATTTCTTTAGGATTTTTTTAGGATTTGTCAGTTATTTGGTACAACATGAAATACATACAGTATATAGCGGTTTAAAGAAATAGAAACAGTTGAAAAAGTAGTAAAACTATTGATTTCAGCTCAGTCAGATACTGTACATAGTTATTCTTATTCTCTTGTACTTACTACCTTAATTATTCCTAGGAACAAGTGGAGTATGTGTTTCTGGTCATTTTCACCATCGAAACATTCACAAAGATTCTGGCGTATGGTCTGGTCATGCATCCCAGCGCCTACATCCGCAGCGGCTGGAACTTGCTGGATTTTGTCATTGTCATTGTTGGGTATGTGCGAGGTTACTTGAAATATCCTTTCAAATTCAAGTCGCATTAAATTTATTTGTATAGTGCTTTTCACTATACACATTGTTTCAAAGCAGCTTTACAGAAAATCATAATGCTTATGTTTGTAATGTCTTCATGTCTTATAGTTGCATGTAGCAGATAATATAGCAGTTGAGATATAGTCTATATTGCTTTATATGAATATACTGTATATATTGGGTGGTAAAGTTGGACATATATATGCAACTTTATATAAAGACTTTAATTTTATTTATTTTTAATTGATTGTGTTATTTTTATTTAAATGGTTTAATGAAGACAAAGTTTAAGGCTACATGATGTACTTAATTGACAGTAGAGGTCACAAGGAATGTGTGCTCCATTTGCAGTCTTTTCAGCGTTATAGCTGAGATGGGCGAGCACAAACCCGGAGAGGCCCATCACGCTGCAGGTAAACCAGGCGGTCTGGATGTCAAAGCGCTGAGAGCTTTCAGAGTACTGCGACCCTTGCGCCTGGTGTCCGGTGTGCCGAGTAAGTGTGTGTTCATGTGTTCTTCTGACTGTATATTTGCACACACAGTGCTGGCTGAATCTAATTCCCACATCTGCAGTGATTGTGATTCAGGTTGTGATGTGTGCAGGTTTGCAGATTGTGTTGAACTCCATCATGAAGGCCATGGTGCCTCTGCTCCACATCGGTCTGCTGGTCATGTTTGTCATCATCATTTACGCCATCATTGGGCTGGAGCTCTTCATAGGCAGGATGCACAAGACCTGCTTCTATGTAGGAACAGGTGAGAAATGCAAACATGAATTTTCATTTTTGGTGAACCATTCCTTTAAATGGGAGTTTGTTCGCTGTTAATAATATAAAGCCTAATAAACTGTGTTTGCTTTCATGTGAAAAGATCTAATGGTGGACGATGATCCAACGCCATGTGCTTTTGCTGGTAATGGTCGATTCTGCGTGGGGAACAACACCGTGTGTCGGGGAGGATGGGAGGGACCCAATGGAGGCATCACCAACTTTGACAACATCTTCTTTGCCATGCTGACTGTGTTCCAGTGCATTACTATGGAGGGCTGGACTGATGTGCTCTACTGGGTACAGCCTGTCCTCCATCTTTTCACTCTTGATTTTTTTTAAAGCCATAGTTACTAATGTTACACTAACAGGATGATTTATTGGAATTAAAATAGAAGATTATTTGAGATGTTTCTTCTTTCTGATTTAAATATGACAGTTTATGGAATGTTCATTTTATGCGATATTAAATCAGCTCAAAAATGAGCTAATTATAAATATATATTATAAGGTTATATTTATATGTTTACAAAAATGTGCTAATTATATGTATATATATATATGTGTGTGTGTGTGTGTGTGTAAGAGATTTTTGATATCATCAGACCAACACACATGCTCACATTGAAGATTCTGCCAGAACACCAGTAAATGTTTATATCAGGAAATTATTTCAACTCGACCCTTAGTTTTTTTTATTAAAAACAAAAATGTAAAAGGCACTTAAAATTAAAGTAAGTGAAGCCAGGCATTCAGGCAACAAATGTTAAAATGCACACTGTCTATAGCCTAAATGTTTAAATATTATACTTGTTAAAATATGACTAATGTGATACAATCAGTGTTGTTTCAGTATTATTTATATAATTTGTCTTAATTATAATTGTATTAAATGTATTAATATTTTAAATTAGCTTTTAATTTATGTTTTTCAGTTTTTATTTTAATTTTAGGATAAAGTTATAGTACTTTTGTTATGTGCCATTATCATTTTTATTTCTATCATTTTCATTTACATTTCTATTTAGCTGTATTTTTATTTGTTTTATTTTCATTTTAGTACTTCAACTTAAATAACATTTATTTCAGTTAGTTGCCAAGGCAACATTTTTAATTTCCACTTTTTTGATGACTAATTTTTTTTAGTTTAATTTTAATATTTATATTTTATTTCACTGCAATTCAGATTTTTCATTCCAGTTTTTGGTTTTAGGTAACAATAACAACACTACATAGAATTACTTACTAGCCTTGACTGTTTACAGTTATATCCAACCTATACCACTCAAAAAACACTTGACAGCATATATGCAGCTTTATAATATCTTACTGTTTTTTTTCCCCCTCTCATCTGCAATGTTTCTCTCAGATGAATGATTCCATCGGGTTTGAGCTGCCTTGGATTTATTTTGTGTCTCTGGTCATTTTTGGATCTTTCTTTGTCCTCAATCTTGTTTTGGGTGTGTTGAGCGGGTGAGTGACTCCAGCCCTGATCCCTTTTAACACATATATGTGTTTTTATAATAGTCTAGTGTAGTATGGTTAATAGTTTTATTATAGACTTGTAAAAAAACAAAAACAAAAGCTCTGCCCTCTATTGCATATATAAATATATGAGACTTAAGGGTAAGGGGGACTTGTGATGTCATTTGTTGGGCGTCTTGTGAAGGTTTAGACTGTAATATGTGTGTCTTTTTCACATCACAGTGAGTTCTCTAAAGAGAGAGAGAAGGCCGTGTGTCGCGGTGAGCTGCAGGAGGCCCAGGAGAAACAGCAGATGGAGGAGGACATGATCGGTTACATGGACTGGCTCATCGAAGCAGAGGACATGGATGAGGATGGAAATAAACGTAATATAAGCTTTATTTAGTATTCCTTTCATATTGTAATCACACTATCAAAACAGAGAGTGAGCAGCACATAAATTATAAACTAACACTTTTGCCCAATGAAGATGACAGAATGTCACATGACTGATGATAAAATGCCCACCCGTGTGAAAAAGCAGTACACGCTTGCATACTTTTAAAAAGAGTACTTATTAAAGAAATAATATGCTTCAAATTAATATACTTAATGTTTTTAGACACTAGATTGCATGATAATTGCAATAAAATGAAAATGTTTTATAGTTTAAATATATTAAATGCAATTAGCTGCGTTTTGGACCAAGTAGGACTCTTTATATGTAATTTCATAATTACTTCTATTGAAACTGCAAAAACTGACAAGCATTTAATGGTAAACTAAAATATACATGAATGTCATTTCAATTGAAACTTTTTAAAATGTGTGCTTAAAAAGGACAAAAAAAGTGTTTAGAAACATAGCCATGAAAGTGGACTCTCTTTAAGTACACTTACAGTAAGTGGCAATTTATCACATTAAAGGGATAGTTCACCCAAAAATAAAAATTTGATGTTTATCCAAACCGATCATTTCGTGTCTTAGGACATCAATGTGTCGTCACGAGCCGCAGGGTTTAATTTGGATTTGTCTGTGCATGTTTTTTTTACTCTCATAGATTTTGTTAACATTGCCATGCATTATACGACTGATAGACTGCAACGGCTGGAGTTAAAAATCTTCATTTGTGTTCTACTGAAGAAACAAAGAGTTCTACATCTTGGATGCCCTGGGGGTAAGCAGATAAACATCAAGTTTTCATTTTTGGGTGAACTATCCCTTTAATATTGTTTAATCTGCAAGTACCGTTATTTAAAAAATTAACTTTTAAGATTTGAAGTGCACTACAAGTGCACATTCAATACAATTAAGTACTTTTCATTTTCACAAGCGCAGCCAGCTCTGTTTATCATGACAGACAGGTTTTAGATCTTTTTTTCAGTCAATAAACAACATTTTTGTTTGTACATTTTGCCTTTTTGTGGTGTAAATGGCAGGTGCTGTGGTGGCTAAGAAAAAGATGATGAAGAAATATGGCTGGTACAAACACAGTGAAGATGGAGGTACTGAGCACAGTTTCACTCAGATTTTTAAATGTATTTTTAAACTACAAAACTACATAACAGACATCTGTTAAGCTTTATTTTTGAGTTACACATTCAGTTTTTTTTCTTTTATACAGAATCGGATTCAGACTCTGAGTTTGAAGCGTTCCTGGATGATGACGGTGGCTGCTGTGCATCTATAATGTAAGTACAATGTTTATACTGCTGTTCCATCCATTATAAAGTATTAATCACCACAACTTTGATTCATCTAAATTCTCTCATTTTCCTTAGGGCACGACTGATGGCTATAAGCTTCTGGTAGGTGTTTATTTGTTGAATAATGTTTACCAGAACCCCAACATTTCTTCTCTTCATTTCTGACATACTTAATTTTTTTTAACGTTTCATATTCATTTAATATATTCATATTTGCCGGTTCTTCTCTTTCTCAGTGAGCAGCTGTACCACTTGAATCTGGTCATCAGGAAGAACTGCCGTGTGGCTGTCAAATCCACCAATTTCTACTGGCTGGTGCTGCTGCTGGTGTTCCTCAACACTGCCGCCAGCGCCTCTGAGCACTACGGCCAACCCCAGTGGCTCACTGACATACAGGGTGTGTGTGTGTGTGTGTGAGAGTGTTGCCAGAGTTTGCCTTTAATGACATGAATTGACCCTGTCTTAAATACGGTCTCTTTAATGTCCCAGAACAAGCAAATAAGATCCTTCTGGCTCTGTTTACGCTGGAGATGCTGATGAAGATCTACAGCTTCGGCTTTCAGATCTACTTCATGGCGCTCTTCAACCGTTTCGATTGTTTCGTGGTGTGTGGTGGGATTCTGGAGACGGTGCTGGTGGAGATGGATGTGATCCCGCCCATCGGGATCTCTGTGCTGCGCTGTGTCCGTCTGATCCGTATCTTCAAAGTCACAAGGTGATTCAGCTCATAAGTGTTTCCATCTGTTTGAGATTCATTGTGAGATTAATGATTTGGCTGTATCATTTCAATTTAAGAGTAATGGGTCTCAGTGTAGTTTTGGTTTCATTGAGTGCTTTTACATGCATGTTTTTAAACCGATTATGCTTACAGATGACAGCGCATGTGGTCATGTGAACATGTTAATTTGTTTTCCTTTATCGCCGTAAGGTCATAAACGGCTTAAAAATAAACTGACAGCTAGATTTCTGCCCATTACCTGATTTTGCCCAGCATGCAAAAGCCTTAATCTGAGTTCTATCGGCTTACTGAAGTGTGCATGTGTGATATGAGGAAAGTGTCTCTATACAGCGAATTTAAGTGCATCCAGGCAGAGCTAGTTTTTCAGGGTAGGGGAGGAGGAAATATATTGCAAACTCTTGACTCTTTCTTGACCCAAGAAATGATAAGAAATGAGTTCTCATTTTGTGCAGCTATAGGACAAGTGGTACAGTAGCAGAAACTTCAAATATGAGAGGAGAATGAGTCTTTTTCAAGTTTCCTGCTGACATTTTGAAATACTCTGGGGTTTTTAATGCTTTATTTAACATCACAACTCACATAATAAATAGAATATTCTGAGTGAAATAACATGGATGCTTAGGCTACGTTTTGATATTACCACCAGGAAATTTTATTAATATTTTGAATTTGCTTTTATTTTAATTTTAGTTAAAGTTTTAGTCATTTTGTTGAGTGTTTTTGTCATTTTTATTAACGTTTTATATATATATATATATGTATATATGCCTATACTGTTTTCATAAATTTTTATTTCAGTTTTAGTTTTTAGTACATCAAGGTAAAGTACATGAAAATGAGAAATGTTGCTTTGGCAGTGACCTAAAATTCAAGTTTTGTTTAGCTAGATTTTATTTCTTTTTGTTTTTCAAGTAACAAAAAATTTTTTTTTAATGGATTTAGTTTTAATGTTAGTTTTAGTTAACTATAAATACCCTGTTATGCCTTTTAGATTTTATTTAAAAAATGAGAACTTATTAAATTGAGACTCAACGAGAGTCGTGCTGATTTTTAAGAGTCATTAAGCATGCTGAATTTGTTGATGTCTCTCTTTAGACACTGGGCTGCACTATCAGACCTGGTGAGCTCTTTGCTGAACTCTATGAAGGCCATTTGCTCCCTGCTGCTGCTGCTCTTCCTCTTCCTCATCATCTTCGCTCTCCTGGGCATGCAGCTCTTTGGCGGAAAGTTCAACTTTGATGAGACTCAAATGAAAAGAAGCACCTTTGACACTTTTCCATCTGCCCTGCTCACCTGTTTCCAGGTAACTTCCTCTGTTGCTAAGACGTCATAAGACGGAGTATAGCGAGAATTGGACCTTAAAATAAAGTGTGACCGAAATCATGCTATTACAATCCATAAAAAAGTTATATTTAATAAAGTGGAATGACACAGGAAAAAAGTATTGAACACGCTAAGAAAAAGGCTAACCCACCTCTGAATGAAAGTATACAAACATCTCATGATGGGTAGAGGCAAAGAGCTCTCAGAAGACCTGTGCAACAAGATTGTTGCGCTACATAACAATGGTACTGGTTACCGATGGATTTCACAACTACTAAATGTTCCTGAAAGCATTGGGGCCGTTATCTGTAAGTGGAAGGAACATCACTCCACCATGAATCGGCTACGCACAGGAACTCCTCACAAGATTTCTGATCAGGGAGTCAGAAGAGTAGTCCAGGAGCCATGGACCACTCGGGAAACGCTCTTGAAAGATTAGGAGGCAGCAGGTACAGTTGTCACAGAGAAAACAATAGGCAATGCATTCCATTACCACGGCCTCCATGCACACTCACTCTGGAAGGCTAAAATATTGAAGAAAAGGCATGTTTAAGCTCATTTGAAGTTTTATACATGTCATTGAATTACTGGGAGAATATAGTCTGCTCAGACATGACAAAATTTGAACTTTGCAATAATACCACAAGTCTTTTCTGGAGGATAAATGTCTCTGCATATGACCCTAAAAATACCATACCAACAGTGAAGTTTGGAGGTGGAAGCATCATTTGAGGCTGTTTCTCTTCTCATGGTACCGGCAGAATCCATATTATTGAAGGGAAGATGAATGGAGCCGTGTACTGGGAAATTCTTCAGATGAATCTGTTGCCATCCACCAGGATGATAAGGATGAGACGCGGATGGACCTTCTAGCAGGACAACCATCCAAAGCTATATAAATAATGCAAATGAGACTCTGAATTGGTTCCAGAGGGAGAAAATAAAGTTGTTGGAATGACCCAGGCAATCACCAGACTTAAACCCAATATAGAGCATATTTGTGGAAGAAACTGTAGATCATGATTCATAAGAGGGCCACCTGGAATATTCAAGATTTAAAGTTTGTTCAGACAGGAAGCATCTTGAAGCTGTCATAGCAAATAAAGACATTTCCACTAAGTAATAAAAACTATTTCAGCAGGAGGGTTCAGTATTTTTTTCCTGGGTCATTTCACTTTATTGCACATAACTTTTTTATGGATTGTAATATTATGGTTTCTTTATCTGTGTAGATTTCTTGTGTTAATACCATTGTCTGGTCAAAATTTAATGGGAAATGCTGCACTGGAACTTTTTAATAAAAAAAATGTTGACGTGTTAAATACTTATTTCCCCCACTGTAATTGCAATATATATATATTTATATTAAATGTAATTAGCTAAAAATTAGAGTGCTTTTATCGACCAACTTAAGTAGGACTTAAGTAGGTCTTTACATGTAATTTCATAATTAATATTTCATAGTTACTACTCTTTAAAATATGGTTAAAGTGTACTGCTGAATGTACAAGTATTTATGGTAAACTAAAAAATATATTTAATGTCATTTCTACTGAAACCTGGATGTCATGAATTTAAATATATTTGTATTCACACACTTGTAATGATGAAGGTGCAATTTAGCATATTTAAAATATATTAACTTTAAATGTAATATCAAATAACACGCTATGGTTAAAATTATAATGTGCTTCAGTATGTTAGTATCAAAATAAGTGTACTTATTTAAAGCATGACAAAATATTATTAAAGCATAATGTTTAATATGTACTTTAAAATAAAACTTTTAATTTGACATTATTAAAGTGCCTTTTTTAAAAGTGTACTTAAGTGCCTTGTAAGTGTCTCTCTTTAAGTACACTTAAGTGGCCTTTTATTTAATATTTTATTATATTATAATATTATATTATCTGCCAGTACAGTTTTTTCAAACATACTTTTAAGATTTAAAGAACACTACAAGTGCACATTCAATACAATTAAGTGCACTTCTTTTTCACAAGGGAGCGTAGGCTTATGTGCATCTACAGATTGTGTAGGAAGTGGCTTTTTTGTCGTCCTACTTCCAAAACAATGATTTATTTTATCAGCAATCATTTTAATGATGGTTCTTTACATCTTTATTATACTATACAAATGATAAGAGATTGAGAAGATATTCAGAATACCGTAGTTTCTGTACTGAATTGGGAGATGTAAACTGCAGCTGTTTCTTCTGTAGATCCTAACAGGAGAGGACTGGAACTCCGTCATGTATGATGGCATCATGGCGTATGGAGGACCAATATTTCCCAATATGATTGTCTCTATTTACTTTGTCATTCTTTTTGTCTGTGGTAACTGTATCTTTTCAATGTGAAATATGTATAAAATACATTCAATCTATAAGCTCCATATTTTTATATCTATTAACCTTTCCACATGGCTATTCTTGTATCTGGAGTCTTGTTTCTGGCCCTTGACTTTATCAAACAGACATCTTGTTGAATGTCTTCTTGGCTATCGCTGTGGACAACTTAGCCGGAGACGGAGGCAAAAAGAAAAAAGAGTAGGCAGCACACACACACAGGACAGAAGCAAAATGTGCACATCCTTGTTACTGTCCTGCATTCACAGGCACAGAGCTCAATCTGTTTGTTGTTTTAAAGAGAGAAAAAAGAAGAGGAGGAGGAATGGGAGGATGATGAAGACAGAGAGGAAGACGAAGCTGGAGTAAGTTCTGGGGTGCTCTTTCTTTCTCTCTGCATTTGAGACACATTTAAAGGAATAGTTCACCCAAAAATTTAAATGTACTCCCTCCTAGGCCAAGCAAGATGTAGATGAGTTTGTTTCTTTATTGGCACAGATTTGGAGAAATGTAGCATCACATCACTTGCTCACCAATAGATCCTCTGCAGTGAATGGGTGCCGTCAGAATGAGAGTCTGATAAAAACATCACAATAATCCACACCACTCCAGTCCATCAGTTAACATTTGTGAAGTGAAAAGCTGCATGTTTGTAAGAAACAAAACCCATCATTAAAGCATTTTAACTTTAAATTGTTCCTCTGGCCAACATACGAGTCCATAATCCATAATTACGCTTCCTCCAGTGAAAAGTCTATCCTCTGCATCAAAATCCTCCGACATATTTGTTTAGAGCTGTTTTGGACTGTTTTCACTTGTAAACTGTGCTTGTTCTGTACAAATTTCTCTCATGATTCAGACATATTACTTTTTTTATCTATGCAGTATTATGGACAGAGGACTTGAATTTTAGCCAAAAGCAAAATGTCTTGTTAAAAATGTCTTGATGGATTTGTTTCTTACAAACACGCATCTTTTCTTCAGATTGTTTTCCACACTACTGGAGTGGTGTGGATTACTTGTGGATTATTGTGATGTTTTTATCAGCTGTTTGGACTCTCATTCTGACGGCACCCATTCACTGCAGAGCATCCATTGGTGAGCAACTAATGTAATGATAAATTTCTCCAAATTTGTTCTGATCTGTTCAAATGATAGAAGATATAATTGTTAAATATTAATGTTTTTTTCAGTGGAAAAAGTAAAAGTTATTACATTTTGATGAATGAAAAATCATGGTTTTATATACACTTATTAATCATGCATTATATGATCAAAGACATTTATTAAGCAAGTGATTTCCATTTGACTGAGGATTTCTATATTGTCTATTGATTATAATTTATATCAGTTATCCAATTATAGAATTTCTATGATTGTTCTCGTCATATTATTCTTTATATTTTTCTTGTTCTTAATTTGTTTAGAATGATGTGGACGATTGGGAAGAGAACGAAGAGTTGAGAGCAATTGAAGGACTTGAGGGTAAATTCTGTCCAGTCCAACTCTTTATATTAACTGTCATTATATATGTGAATTTATTTAATGACATTTTTTAAAATCTCCATATTTTCTAAAGGTATAGGCACTCCAATGAAAGTTGAAAGTTTTCAACCCAAAGAGAAAATTGTACCCATTCCTGATGGAAGTTCCTTTTTCATCCTTGGAAAGAAAAACTGGTATGTTAAACATTTTTTTTTTTACAAACTATGGTGGTTAATAATGATATTTTTTCTTATCTCTGACCTGAAATTGACCGTGCTAATATTCACTTAGTCTCAGAGTCGCCTGCCACAACCTCATTCATCATCATTACTTCACCAACTTCATCCTCATCTTCATCATATTCAGTAGTTTTTCATTGGCTGCTGAAGACCCAATCAAAACTCATTCTGTCAGGAACGTTGTAAGTTCATGCACCTCTAGAATAGAGGACTAGATCAGAGCGCTTGAGGGCCAGTCTGTGTGCAGATCTTCCAGTATTCCCATTGTTAAAAATAGTGAACAAAATTATTAATATATCATTTTACAATTCTGAAATAAACTGTACTCAGGCGCACTTACTGGCCCTGCAAAATTAGCATTTGATGGTCTTAAAACAGTGATAGATGTTGTGTCCCTGCTGGATGGCTTTTCTTAAGAGGACTGTGGTTCCCATGATTCCCAAACGTCATCCCTTGTGCTCTATAGAGATTAAACTAGCCTTAAAGTACAATCTCTAGTTTGAAAAAAGGCTAAAACCAGATATGTGGGTGAATCCCTTGAAAACTTTCATATTTCACCCCAAATCAATTATATTTTACATCAAGAAAATGAAAAGGTTTTTTATTTCTTTTTACATTGTGAGATTATTTTCATGTAAGCACAAATGTACTTTTACACATTACACATTTATTACTTTAATGCAAAATCATTAAATTTTTTAATATAATCAGCATATAATTTAAATATTTAACTTAACTGTATTGTTTTCCTTAAAATCAGCAAATAGTATGTTTTCAATTGTATTCTTAAATTAATTAATATTCTTATTAATAAATTAATTAAATTACAATTTAAATAATATGTATTTTTCTTCTTAATGGTCCTAAAAATAGTTTTTTTCTATGCAAAGTATTTTATTTTTTGGTGTGAAATATGACATGAAATTATGAGATTGACCAGGTGCCTTTTTATATAATTGCTGTCTTTATGTCTTATGATAGATGCTGGGCTATGCTGATTATGTCTTTACCACCGTCTTCACTATTGAGATCATGTTGAAGGTAAACTATTGATCATCTCGCGCATAATAAAACGTCACTCTTATGCTTCAAACTGATTTTCATCTTTTCTACATGTCCAATAATGGCCAGGGGTATTATTGTTAACTAAAACTAAAAACTAAAATTATTAAATAATATTTTTATAAATTGAAATGAAGGTGAAATAAAATAAAACAAAAATATTAGATGGAAAACTTACACTAAAACAAAAAGTAGAAATGTTGTATTGGCAACTAACTAAAATAACTTCAATAAGGTTGAAGCACAACAACTGCTAACTAAAACTAAAATGTGAAAAAAAAAAATATATACTAAAAATGTAACTAAAATTTAAATGAAATCTGAATATAAAACTAAATGCTAATTCAAAATAAAATATTAATAACTTTAATAGCATAAAAATAATATTAAACTAACACTGGTTTTGAGCTCTGACAAGGGATTGGTCATGTGCAAAATCATCAGATGTTTGTGAATATTGAGTTTAAACTTTACATTTTTTTAACTTTTGTATATTAATGAAAATGTGTGGCGGTGTGTTGCTCAGATGACTGTGTATGGAGCTTTCCTTCATCAAGGCTCCTTCTGCAGAAACGCCTTCAACCTGCTGGACCTTCTAGTCGTCAGCGTATCCCTCACCTCTTTCTTCTTGCAGTAAGTGTCCATCTATCACTTAGTTCAATTATTCCTAGATTCATTTATTTATTTGTTGTCATTTCTGTATTTAGTTCAAGTGCCATTTCTGTGGTGAAGATTCTTCGAGTATTGCGAGTGCTCAGGCCTCTTCGAGCCATCAACAGGGCAAAGGGACTCAAGGTACAAACGCACAATGCATTTCTCCATGCTAACATCCACAGTCCAATCATCCATTAGACCTGCATGATATATTGAAATATAAATGAGATATTGCAATATGGCTTTACTGCGATTATCAAATCGCAAATGCTGTGATTTAATTTACAATAAACATATGCGCTGCGGTAGTGTGAACAGAACTGCTTTGAGATGAAGAAACACTGAGCTGCACACGTAAAAGAACATATCACATTTTCATATCACAGTATATATATATAACAGAAAAATAAAATATTGCAATGTGCAATGTTTGTTTTCAATGCCATGCTGCCCTAAATACCATTATGTTCATTATTTCCAGTACTGTTTATTCATAACCTTCAATGAGTGTTGCTGCTTGTGTCTTCAGAGCGTGATTCAGTGTGTGTTCGTGGCCATCCGCACTATTGGCAACATCCTCATCGTCACCACTCTCCTCCAGTTCATGTTCGCTTGTATTGGTGTGCAGCTTTTCAAGGTGCATAAAGTCAACATGAATGCATGTTCCTGGTGCTTGATTCATTAATTCATTATTTCCTAAGAAAAAAAGAGTCCGTCTTTAATCCGTCAGCCATTCATTAAAATGTAGTAAATTCCTTTTAGGTTGACATCACCTAGGCTTTGCAAACAATATCCAAATAGCTATTTCCAATACGTATTTACTTGCTGATTAACATGAATGTAATCCCTCTTGCAGGGCCGGTTCTACAGATGTACAGATGAGGCGAAACATACACCTGAAGAGTGCAAGTATGTGGTTTGGTCATAAATTTGTTTGCTTTGCACTCACAGTGACTCACTGGGTTGTTTTCTGAGACTTGTGTGCGTGATTGTTTCAGGGGCACATTTGTGGTGTTCAAAGATGGTGATATGAACCATCCAATGGTGAGGGAGAGAGTTTGGGAGAACAGCGACTTTACCTTTGACAACGTGTTGATGGGGATGCTGGCGCTCTTCACCGTCTCCACGTTTGAGGGCTGGCCACAGTGAGTGAGAAAACCACTCAACAAAACAACACTGATAGTGGATCCTCCAAACTTTAATTGTCTTTCATGTATTTCACAGGCTCCTATATAAAGCCATTGATGCTAATGCAGAGAACAGAGGCCCCATCTATAACTACCGTGTTGAGATTTCCATCTTCTTTATCATCTACATCATCATCATCGCCTTCTTCATGATGAACATCTTCGTGGGTTTTGTCATCATCACCTTCCGTGAGCAAGGAGAGGCTGAGTTTAAAAACTGTGAACTAAATAAAAACCAGGTTAGTCTGAATTCAAGGCCATTTCTTTAGATATTGAATAGGTTAGGCTATTTTATCTTTCTTTGGTCATCTAGTCCAGTCAATTGATTCTTTCGTTGCTCTTGTTGTCTGTGTCACGGAGTCTCTCTCCTTTGCTCACAGCGGCAGTGTGTGTATTACGCATTGAAAGCTCAGCCCATAAAGATTTACATCCCCAAAAACCCCTCTCAACTCAAATTCTGGAAGATCATCAATTCCTCTCAGTTTGAGTACATCATGTTTTTGCTCATTCTGCTCAACACGCTCACACTGGCTGTACAGGTACACACACACATTCATGTTATCTAAATGGGGACATTCCATTGTTTTTATATACAGCTAGTTATACTGTAAATACTATCCATGAGAAAACCCCTTGAATGTCGAATTGTACTTTAAATCTTAAAAGTATATATTTTTAAAAACTTTACTTGCATATAAAATAATATTAATAAAATAAAAGGCCACGTAAGTGTACTTAAATAGAGTACACTTTCATGATTATTCCTTAACATACTTATGCACTTTTAAAAAGTGCATATTGTAATAATGTCAAATTAAAAGTTTGACTTAAAAGTACATTTGAAATCGTTATGTTTTAATAATCTTTTCTGCGCTTCAATGAAGTACACTTATTTTGATGTGTTGACTAACATACTTTTATAAAAATATTTTATCATTACAAATGTATTTAAATATATGACATGCAAGATTCAATAGAAATTACATCAAAGTATAATTTATTTTACGATAAATGCATGTCAGTACATTAAGCAGTACACTTTGATATTTCAAAGACAATAGAAGTAATTTACATGTAAAGATAACTTGAGATCTACTTAAGTGGTTAAAAACACTCTTAAGTTCAATTAATTGCATTTAATATAAATTTAAACTGTAATACATTTTCATTTAGTTGTAAATAGCATTCAATTAAGCATCCAAAAACATTACATTCAGTTCTCAATTTTTAAGTCTTTTTTAATATATATATATATATATATATTAATATATATTAAAATGTAATTTATTCCTGAGATGGCAAAGCTAGATTTTCAGTAGCCATTACTCTAGTCTTCAGTGTCACATGATCGTTCAGAAATTATTCCTATTTATTTATTTATTTCAAACCGTTTGAATATTAGAAATTGAAAAGTTAAGTGATTCTGCAAAGTATCATATTTCAGTGTGAAGTTAGTGCTCCTCTAGGAGAAGTTCTGCATGCAAATGCAGTCATAGTCTAGAGCACTAATGAGATCACTTGACTGTGACCCACAGCACTATGAGCAATCCAAACTCTTCAACTTTGTGATGGACATCCTGAACATGATCTTCACTACGCTCTTTACTGTTGAGATGATCATCAAACTTCTGGCTCTGAGACCTTACGTGAGTCTTGCTGCACACTGTCCTTGCTCTTTCACGTTTTACTTTGCTCCAGTGATTTGATATGCAGTCTTGATATGTCCATTTGTGTTAGTGCCTTGACATTTGTGCTGTTTTCTCTGTCTCTCTTGCTCTCGCTCTTTGTGTTTTGGACAACACAGCACTATTTTATAGATGCCTGGAACTCTTTTGATGCTCTGATAGTGGTGGGCAGTTTGGTGGACATCATGATAGCAGAGTTCAGTGTATGTAACTATATCTGATCTGTGAGAGATTCCTATGCATGTCCAAATCTAGTCAGCTGAACTTTTGGTGTGACATATCAAGTACTATATCTTTTGTTATCTCAGACACACACACTTATCAATTTCTATAATCTCTTCTGTTTCCTGCTCTCTTGTGGATGGATGGTCCTGTCACTCACTCAGGGTGGAGGAGGCCATGGTGAGGTACGAATATGGAACTTTATACATCAGCTAAATAAGTATTCATATCTTTGAAGTTTTATAGCTCTTGTTCATTAACAGTACACACAGTACATACTAAATTGTAGTCAAAAAAGTCACAGTAAAACCTTATTTATGATCAGTAAGACTTTGCTGCTGATTTGCTTCCATAAATTTTAATGAACACACCCCAAATCAGAGCATCAGTGAAATTGTGACTTTCCCCTCTAGTAATTAAGACACTATGGTGTTTATGCACAGTTATCTTGTAAATATGATCATTCCGACATGACATGAATTTTACGGTGTTGTTATGGTGACATCGTATAGAAATCTGCAGAAAGAAACTTTGGTCCTGGTTTATGTGGCAATAAATAGAAGGTTCTAGGACAGCATTTAAAATGTTTTTTTATTTTAATATTAATGTTAGTTCTTTATTTAAATGTTATGTTTTTATGCCTTAGATGAGTGTAACTTTTTGAGCTTCTCTGGTGAAAATTTAATTTAACCATTTGATTGTCTTTTGAATTAATTTTTTTCTTGACCACTTAATTTACATTTAATATAAATTCAATCTTTAATTTAATTTAATTTTATGATTTGATTGTCTTTCAAATTAAATCTTTCTTGACCATTTTTTGGTCCTTACACTTAAACAGGTTGTTTTTTCTTCTTTCTTTAAAATGACCTATTATGAATGTTTAACCTCAAGGTTGCAGGTTTGCTGTCATCTCTTAGCAAAACTTGCATTATATTGTGACTGCTTAACAAAACAATTCACACTGAAATGTCAGACTGACATGATCAGGGACTTTGTTACCTCGACTCTTTAATCACATTAATATTTGGCCTGTCATTTTCTTTTTCCACTTTTAAAAGGGGAAAGAAGGGGAGAGTGCCAAAGTGTCCATCACCTTCTTCCGTCTTCAAGAGACTGGACTGTGCTGGGCACTCATCACCTCGATGAGTTTAAACGAGTCTGGTCAGATTACGACCCAGAGGCCACGTAAGTGATATCATACATCCACAAACAATAAGCTTTATGTCTGCCTTAAATGAGTATGTAAATTAAAATGACGAATACTTTTGTATCTTTTTGCATCAGGGGACGGATTAAACATCTAGATGTAGTCACCATGTTGCGCAGAATTCAGCCTCCACTGGGCTTTGGGAAACTCTGTCCACATCGAGTAGCCTGTAGGGTAAGCATGACTTGGATTTGTACAGTCAGTGGCTTACAATGAAATGGGTGAGAATAGAACCCGAGCCATACACTACTGTTCAAACATTTCTAATCAGCATTTATTTGAAAGCTTTTTAAAATGTCTTTACTGTCACTTCTGATTAATTTAACATGTCCTTACTGTATAAAAGTATAAATAAAATTTAAAAAAAGACCAATATATCATAGAGTCCTGTGAGGCCCAGTAAACAACTACCCAGAATGAGCAAGCAACCTGCTCCACATAGCAATGTCATTACAACCACTAATCTCTGCACCTTTCTGTTTGTCTCTCTCTTTCTCATCGGCAGAGATTGGTTGCTATGAATGTGCCTCTCCATCCTGACGGCACCGTGTCTTTCAATGCCACTCTGTTTGCTCTCGTCAGAACGTCACTCAAGATTAAAACAGACGGTAGAACTTCTACACACACACACACACACACTAGTTAATACACTTACTTCTGTCAATTCTAACATTTACAAGAGAGGATGATAGTAATTGTCTTTATAAACAAACGTCAATATGAAAAAGGTTGATATTTATGTTTGCTATTTGACACACTACAGCAAAAAACGAAGCGTTTATCTATCTTAAATACAGTAATGCAGTACCTTTCCATTCACCACAGGCCCCATTGACCAGCAGAACGAGGAGCTGAGAGCTATCATTAAAAAGATCTGGAAACGCACCAAACCCAAACTTCTAGAGGAAGTTATACCTCCTCCTTCAGGTACAGTATGTTATGAGTTCTTCTCATTGGTGTTATGTGCTGATATGGACAACCAAATGACAAATACAACTTTTTTTAGTCTTTTTTTAAAATCCATCTCTCTGCGTTTTAGGGAATGAGGTGACTGCAGGAAAGTTCTATGCCAGCTTCCTGATTCAGGACTACTTCAAAAAATTTCGCAAGCGAAAGGAGAAAGAGAGGAAGAAGAAAGGCAAGGACAAGTCAGCCTCGCTCCAGGTAAAGAATTATGACAGTTGTCTGAATGTGTTGCCTTGCTTTACAAATGGCCGTTTTGCATGCATTGGAATTATAACTATTTCAGATCAGAAATAATATATTTATAATATATAATATTTAACAGCAAAATTAAGTATGACATAGAAAGCTGAATTGGGCAGCATGAACTTTCTTATTTCTTATTTAAAGTGCATACTTTTTTTCAGTGGCATGTTGTGATGATGTTCGTATCTTTTGAGATTTAAATATCATTTTACTAAGACATTATTGGGAGATACAGAGTGACAACTGATATTTATATGCATTTTATGCAAGTAGTCTTTTATACTGTTATAAAAACCTCATTGAGTATATTACAAGCTATTTCTTTGGGCATATAAATATCAGCAACTGCACCGATTTGCATGTTTTTTCCTCCTCAAGTATGAGCTCCATATTCTCTCTATATCATACATGAGCCAAATATGATACTCAGCAAAAACACACAACAATGTTTGACTGATCTTGTGTGGTCCAGGCCGGGTTACGCACACTACAGGATCTGGCCCCAGAGATGCGGCTGGCTATAGCGATGGAGGATGAGGAAGGGCTGGAGGGGGAGATGATGGAAGAAGAGGAGTTCTTCAGGGTAAGAACACCCAGCATCTAACATTAAAAATCCAGTGGGAATAGTACAATCAGTGTGCTTTAAGATGTTGTGCCAACAGTATTATTTTCGTGTCCTTGTTTCATGTACACTGTGGGCCAAAAATTTAACATTTTTTGAAAAAGGTCTTTCATGCACACCAATAATGTGTTTATTTGAGCAAAAAACAGTAATATTGTAAAGTATTATTACTATTTACTGTGGTTTTCTATTTTAACTAGTACTGTCAAATGATTAATTGCAATTAATCGCATCCAAAATAAAAGTTTTTGTTTACATAATATGTGTCTGTACTGTGTATAATTATTATGTATATATAAATACACACACATGCATGCATATATTTAGGAAAAATGTTTTGTTTATATATAAATATTTATATACATGTAAATATTTTTTAAATGTTTTGTGTATTTATATATACATAATAATTATACACAGTACATAGTGTTAATTAGTAGTACTTAATTGTATAATTTTACTGTAAAAATCACAAATTAAAGTGTAACCAGGTGGCATTTGTAATTAGTCTCACTGCAACCACAGTTAATTGTGTTTCCCTTGACGGCAGAGTGACAGTGTCTTCAGTGATGCTCCTCCCACATCGGCCATGTCCACTCCCAGAAGCACCCCTATGCCGCCCCATCTGGACGAGACCACAGTGAGCATTGAGCTTCCTCCTAGAGTACACAGTGGGAGCTTTATGCTGGAGGAGGCCCTGGTGGACTCCCGCCCGGCCTCTGCCCTCTCCGAAAACACAGTGATAAGTGAACAGCCTCAGAGTTTGTCTCCCCTGCTCAGCAGGTGGGCCTCCAGTCACAGCAAACTCACCCCATTGTGGATACTGAATAACAACCAAAGGCAAGGAGCACACTAAGAATAGAAATATACCTGTATAAACAGAGGCTGATGCAGCATGCCAAATTAGAGAATTAATGGCTTGATTTGCTCAGAGTCTCGAGGTCTGAAAGCTGTTTGATCTATTTTGACTGAAGGGTGTGGTATTTGGTCAGATTTTAGTCCAAGATAAAACCTAACAGTATTTTTATCTCTTAATATTGGGCTGTATTTTTCTAACTGTCAGCTAACAAATCACTTTACAGCTTTGAGACGCTCCAGAAACGTGGTTTTCATTGCAGTTTAACATGAAAATATGCAAAGTATTTTGAATTCTGGCGAGTTGCGATGCTTGCCAAGCTTGACAGACATGCTGTGTAGATGTCATGCTCTCTAGTGTACTGTAAAATGGGAGTATGGCAGGGGTTTTCAACCTTTACGTGCTCATGAACCTCTCAGCCAACCCCAGGGTCACCAGTTTAACTGTCTGAATTTTCTCAATAACAATTTCTAGTAACTTTCATCAAGAACATTAACATTACTGCATTATACTCATTTTCATTATTTACAAATTAGTTTTAAACACACAACCCACATGCAGTACCTTCAGGGACCCCTGGTTGAAAACCCTGGCACTATGAATTCTCACAAACAGGTGACAGCTTAAAGGGATAGTTCACCCAAAAAAAGAAAAAGAAAATACAGTCATCATTTACTCATCCTCATTTTCATTCAAACTGGTATGATACTTTTAAACAAAATATATTTTGGGAAAGAAGATATTTTGATAAATGTCTCAGTGTTTGTTTTATATATATATATATATATATACAGTGGGTACGGAAAGTATTCAGACCCCCTTAAATTTTTCACCCTTTGTTATATTGCAGCCATTTGCTAAAATCATTTAAGTTAATTTTTTTTGAACTCATTGGAGAAAGTTGCCGCCTGGCTGGCCATGGTTCAGTTTTTTACGACTCTCATATAATGGTGTGATGTTCAGGAAATGCCTTACAGGATGCAACGTCTGTAGTTGACGGTAAATTTTTGTTTAAATTGATAGTTTAGTTGTCCTATAAACTTAAATTGGTCATGTTCTTGTTTCGCAGCTAGTTAATGAAATCCAAGTAAAACAAATTCTATCATTTTTGCACCTATAGGTGAAAATCTTTTGATTTGCCATGTTGCATGTTTTAAAAATATTAAAAACACAAAACACACCTGATGCGAATTCTTTGCTCTTCATTTTCTATAAGCAGAGTTAACAGACCCTGTTGTATTTTCTTGTAATTTATTCAAATTAGGTACACCGCCATCTTGTGCCGACTAAACTGACTTGAATGCACCTGACGTCGTACTTACGAGTTGACAAGTCGTAATTACTTTCACTTGGCTTTCACAGCCAAGTGAAAGATATAACACCAACATGTCATAAAAAAATAAAGAACAGAATAAAACATTAAAGTCTTACCGACCCCAAACTTTTGAAAGATAGTGTAAATCATATGAAAATCTTAGTTCTGGAATGTCATTAGGTATTAGGAAATGATGATTTATGGGTGAACTGTCCCTTTAAGGCCTATTCACACCAAGAGCAAAGCAGCAAAGTGACATAACGGAAGTAAAACACTCTTCTTTTTTTTTACTTTGCTGACAGGCAGTGGCTTTTTTATTAATTTCTTTAATTCAGATGATGAGCTCTGAATCTATCTAGTGTGCCATGGACACATGGTTAAAAAATTTTTTTTTAATATGTGGTGAAAATTAATGCTCCGTGTGAATAGGCTTTTAGGTAGCACACTGTAACATTTGCTGTCAAAGTTTTTTTTGCATCTTCTTGTCTTATAAGGAAACTTTGACTTACAGTACTTTTAAACATCTTGAAAGAACACTATCATTGTGGAGCATTATCAGCTATTGTAGCCTTGGCTTTTCGCTGTTAGCATGAAGAAATGCAGGTGACAATGTTCACTCAGTTGTTTGTCTACTCATACTTTCAAACGGGATTTGAAGAACTTAAAGGAAATTCTATAAGTTGACAGGACGACCTCAAGGTTTTTTTTTATAGGCTATATCATCGATGTATTTCTCATATTCAGGACTGACACAACCAGAGCTTGTGACTATATTCCTTCCCCATCCCCGGATGGAGGAATGCAAAATGGAGGAGTCACAGGAGGAGTCATCACTCCGGGAGGAGTCACAGGTGGAGGTGAAGGAGTCACAGGAGGAGAAGGGGGAGTGATGGGAGGAGGAGTCACAGCGATGCCATATCCTACAGAGCAAGGCGATGTCAGCAAGGAGGAGCCTCAGTGTGCAGTCTCAAATGATAGGTGAGCACAACATGTTTGACTACCCATAATGCACCAAAACAAGCACTGTCATGCATTGATATGTATACGTAGATGCATCATTATCGGCTGTTTCTATGGGCCGTTGTTGTTGCTGCATCCCAGTTCTCCTACTTATACTATGCCCTAAAAGTATGTACTCTTTTTGTGAAGAAAAAGTACATACTTTTGAGTATGTAGCAGAATAGTATGCAAGCTTTGGGACAGACTACTTCGTCATAACTGCGCCTTGCTTAGTTATATGCATTCTGTCACCGTTTAAACTGCCCTGTCAATCATTTTCTCACAGTCTTTGGTTAACATCATCCACATTTCGTTTAATTCCCTACCGTATTGGAGAGAAATGAAGAGGCACGTTGATCTGCCAGTCGCGGGTCTATCATGCCGAGAATTCTCCTCATGTGTTTTTATAATGATGCATTTAAAAGTTAATGACCAAATGTATCTTTATGAAAGTTCACAGTGTTCTTACAGATGAAATTTAATGTGAATAACATTAAATAAATATTGATATTGATTATTTATCACTCAAACCTCTTTCTCTACCTGGTCATCGGCCATCAGCCATGTTTGTAGTTTTTTTTAAACAATTTTTATGCGTGTTTGTATTTCTAATCCGGAATGTGGTTGAATGTGGCATCTACCTTTTCATATCTATGCTGTCAAGCAAAACTGATATACTTCAAGCAAAATCAAAGAACCATGTCATTTCAAACAAAATCAGACCAAAACAGAGTTTGTTTCGAGAGTTTTGAAACAGTTTGCCAAAGCAAACTTTCCGGAAAAAAATACAATAAATATACTTTTTTTCTATTAATTACAATGAAAGAACGAACTGGTGTGATGTAATTTCAAACAAAATCGAGCCAAAATGAAGTTCATTTGGAGGTTTGTGAGTTCAAAACAGCTCGTCAAAGTGAACTTTCTAGAAAAGTTCACTTCAGCTGGTAAACACCTTCAAACTACCATTGGTCAGTGGTGATTACATAACAGGTAGGTGTGGCTCTGGAGCTCCGCCTTCTTTAACATGGAACTATTCTCTGGTTCATTTCTTATTATATGTTCAGTCTAGTCTGTCGAAGTTAGATGCATGTTAAAACATGAAAACACCGGAGAGCTGCTTTAGTTTACAATAGAAAAATTCTAATAGAAAACAACACTGACACTGTTTTATCATGTTTAATACTGTAAAGCTGCTTGCTTTAAAGCAATCTATTGTACATGTGCTATATAAATGAACATGGCGTAACTTTACTGGAGTGCCGAATGGCAGAGCTGGTGCAAACATCCACATCACTATGATCAGATGCTTTCTTAACTGCTGTTTTCTCACTGCTGTCATTTAGTTGTGTGTTTATATTGCTATTGAGATTAAAGCACGCAGCACATATTTACATATTAATCTAAACGCTGCTCTTAACAAATGTGGTCAGTGTTGCTAACAGTAAACCACTGCAAAGGTATTTCAATTTTCTTTTTACCCCTAAACGAAGAATAAAAAAGAACTTCGCTGAGAGTATATTGGGACCTTTACATGACTCAAACAGAAGGGACTTTCTCATATTTGACAAACTTTGCTCACAAATGAATATATCTGTCTGAGTTTGTGTTGATGTTTGAACAGACAGTGGTTTCCTGAGGTTCCTCCAGCACAAACACCAGCACTTAATGTGAGCAGTGAAAGTGTGGCGCCAGTTCAGCCCAGTAACATTGACAACAACAGTTACCAAGGCAACAGCCAAGATGCTGGTGGCTACCATGGCAATGGTTACCCTGGAAATGGCTACAATGTTAATGGTAACAATGGGACTGGTTATCAAGGCAACCATTACTCCAGCAACGGCTACAGCAGCAATGGATACAATGGTAATGGTTACCATATTAATGGATACAATGCTAACGGATACAACGGCAACGGTTTCTCTGCACGGCGACGTATGCTTCCCCCGACTCCCTTAGGTAAAACCAACTACTATATTTCTGCACTGCACAAAATATAACGTGTTCAGCTCTTCAGTGAATCTAACATTGTTTATTTTTTCCTGTATCTGTCAGGTCGAAAGCCAAACTTCAACATCCAGTGTTTGAGAAGGCAGACCAGTAATGAAGATCTGCCCATTCCAGGCACTTACCATCAAAACTCCCCACCCTGCAGGGCACAAGCACAGGTACACATCCCCCAACATGATCCATACTTTACTGTATAGCAGGCATTTGCAGTATATTTATTTCAGTCATCATTGTCATTTATTTTAATGATATATTACGGCTACCATAATAAAAATCCTTTAATCATTATTTTAAATGAATTATATACAAAACTTGCTCTTTGAGTAGGAGCTAAAATGTATATCTATATTATTTATTTATACATGCAGCCTGCTCTAACTTCTTGATTAATGATTTTTGCTATAATAATCTTCTTGCTACAAATTTAATTTAATTTATTTGATTATGGTTGTTATTCATATTAATATAATCTATATATTACATTAAATAAAAATTTTTACATTTATATTTACAGTATACTTATCTTGTCACTGATGAAACTATAAACGCATAGCAAAATAGGTTTCATGGATTGTAAATGTAATAAAAAAAACATTGTTGTCAATAAATTACTATAAAGGCCTTATATATGAAATATAATGCAAAGAAAACAAATTACATTTTTAAAAAGTATGCAACATTTTTTAAAATAAAAAACATCTTAGGTTCAATCAGTTCAATTAAACAATAGTCAGAAAATTAATTAAATTACATTTTTTGTATTTTATTTCATAATTCAGGCTTTACAGGGTTGAAAAGATGTAGTGTATCATTCTGAGAATACAGCAGCAATTTACTTTAAACAAAATCAACATTGTGCAAAAAAAATTTAATTAAATTAATTTCATTATTACATTCAATTAAATTATGACACAGTTTGACTTTTTTCCACACACAAAAATAAAATGATTTACGTACCTGCTCCAACAGACAAACAACAGCTACGACTCACGGCGGAGCAGCATTTCATCTGGAGTTTCTTCGGCCTCTTGGGCAAACAACCAGGCCAGAAGGGGCCGTCTCCTCTACGCCCCCCTCATTCTGATGAACGAGGTGGGGGGCACTCAGGCAATGTGGGGTGACACCAATGGCAGCGCCAGTCTGCCGGCATCGGCCCGTCCCGGGTGGATTGGCAGTGGAATGGCAGGCGTGGCCCAGCAGCCTCGGGCGTACACCACTCTCAGAGTGCCGTCCCAACACAGCCCCGGATACATAGAGAAGGGAAGCGCTGACAGCCTCGTGGAGTCGGTAAATACGCTTTTTGAATGGTGTATAAAATTACCATTTTGCCTGAAAATAAGTAATAAGGATAGTTGTTATTTGTGCAGGTACAGTGGCTATAAAAACTATTCAAGCTGGACTTTTTGCTTTACAGCAGTGAAGCATAGACTTAATTTCGCTTTTTGGCTGTGATTAACAAAAGAGGAAACATAACCCCTATAAAGCCTACTTTCTAAGTTCTAAGGCCTCTAAATTATCAACATGATCTTTGAAAAGTAAATTAAAAGCCTTTTAGTATAATTGTAAAAATTCCCCCTTTCAGGTTGTGGTTCACGTGACTTTTGCTGTGAAATCTATTGATTTTATATTGCTTGTAATATTTCAAGATGAGCAATTACTGGACTGAAGCAGCTTAGGATTACTTGATTATCCATACATATATGTCATGTTCAAATGTTAGTATCAAATATGATCTATCAGTCTTTTGAGGAATGTTCATTTGTTCATCTCTCAATCATTATCGACTCCCATGTTGAAAACTACAGAATTCTGATCATAAAACTAAGCATTTAAACAACATCTAACATATTATTGAAAGATATAGAGTGACAACTGATATTCATATGCATTTTAGGTAAGTAGACTTTATGTAAGTTACTGTTATGAAGATCTCGTTGATTTACAAGCTATCAGAATTTCTGCACCAATTTGCATATTTTCACTCAGTTTGGGCCTCTGAATAAAACTGAGGTGTTATATTCCTCAAGTATGAGCTTCATATTCTCACTAAACGATACTATATGAGCCATAAAATCCTGATGTATCAAATATGATACTCAAAACACATTATTTTTTGGATATAGGGTTCAATAGATGGTTCCATTTAAAAAATGCACTCTATTTTTTTTGCACTCTATTTGATATGGCATATCCTAAATTATTACTGGTGCAACTAATTGGTTTAAGCAGACACATAAATAGTGAAATGGAGATCAGCTGTGTGTAGTCAGTGGGTTTCAGATGGTTGTAATGTAAATCCGGTCCAGCATCTCTTTGTCTTTCTGTTTTGTTTTTATTTAGATCCTGATCTCTGAAGGCTTGGGTCAATATGCCAAAGACCCCAAATTTGTTGACTTTGCAAAGCGGGAAATTGCAGATGCCTGTCACATGACTATTGATGAAATTGAGAGTGCTGCAACTGACCTTATAAGTCGAGGAAGGGCAGGACAAGCGACCGGATGCTTTGAGGAGGATCTGTCTGATGAGATGAACTGTGTAATATCATACTAAATGGGCTTCAGTTTGTTGGCGAGGGCAGGACAGAGTGTCAGTGTGATTGTGATGATCTCTGAATCACAAACTCAAATACATTCACCTCTTCATTTTAAGCTTGGTTGGGCAGATTTAATAATTATATTCATTTGATTCAGTAGATATAAGGAAATTGTGGTGACCACATTGACTTCACCCCTGTTGCTTTGCATAGAAGTTTAGTAAGAGCCTAAACAAACCACAGGATTACTATTCATTTGACTCTCTAAGTTTAAAGTCAAAATGGACAACTTTTTTTTTTTTTTTTATGGAATGTTTCAGCATTTATTATAAATGATTTATGTTGACTTTGCAAAATGGGAAATTGCAGATCACTTGCTAAGACTTCCAATGACGCCAGCTTTAGATTAACATACAACTGTCTAATATTATCCTTAGAGTTATAACGATCACAAGCTGTAATCATTGCTGTAACATGTTCATTATGTCTGCTTAAGTGAATACATGATGTTTACTGACCATATATACATATTTTATTGCTATATAATACTACCATATTGACATTACTTTTATATACTCGCCTCTGGCTGAATAGAATACTTCTTGATTATAACATTGAAACATGCATTTTCCGTGCAGCTGCTTTGAAACGATATGTATTGTGAAAAGCGCTATACAAATAAACTTATATTGAATTTATCCATGCAGATCTCTTTTGTCATTGTAATCTTTAAAATGAAAAGATTAACATCCCCTCCCTGGGCAATAGGTTTTACCAATAGATGACTTTCAGCAATCCTTCCCCTGCAGCACCTTTCACTCTCATCAAATGATCACAACAATACAATGATCAAATGGACAAAAGTCCCATCCTTCATTTACTTTTTGTTTGAGAAGCTGGGTATGTCACAACAGGGAAGAAAAGACAATCCCAGTTTCTGTTTCATGCCACCTTTAAGTTTGATATTGCTCAACATGATGAATAGATCAGTATGTGGGTATAGCATTATATTCAATACTGATACTTTACTAAACCACCCAACCGAAATATTCAGCCGAAACAACACATTGGCAAGAAAAACTGATGTGGTGAAATATTGTGTGCTCCAGTCAATCAGTCAACCAGGGGTGGCATTTCCCAGAAGCATCGTTAGCTAACTAGGTGGTAAGTTCCACTGAACTCTATTGGTAACAACAACTTGCGACCATAGTTGTTTTGGGGAAACGCACCCCAGGATGGGCATTTTTTATTTATTTATTTCTTTAAAGTGGTTTATTCAATTTGCTCTAACCCACTGGGCGCTAGGTTAAGTGTAGGCCTTATGAGTTTAGAAAATTGGGAAAAGTGATAGAAAAAAAAATCCACAACATCAGCCTCCATGAAGAGAAAGCCCCCAAAGAAAGCCACCATGAAGAGTGTCAATCTAGCCTGATGCAGGAGTAACTCGAATAACCGTAAAAGAGAAAAGTGAGCAATTTCACTGTACACAGTAACACTTACAGTTATGTATGCAGCTGTAAGAGACGTACGGATACTTGAATGTGTTAGTGCATGGATCTGAGAAGACGCCATTGGAGGCGACTAGGGAGCAGCTATTTTTTCCTTCACACCAACAAAAATTAAATAAGTAAATTGTCAAAGATTTTAATCTCAATGAGATTTTCTGGTAAAATAAAAAGTAAAAAAATAAATAAAAACCCAACCACAGATAACCTTGACTGACTTAGTCTGGAGGGTGGTGGGGGTCGGTTTTACTGTGTTTAGAAGAATTTTGGGCATTTAGGAGCTGAAAATCCAGAAAAATCAGCTAAGATGTTGAATACATGTGAAAAGTGTAAAAAATGTTTTGTTTGCACACTCACACATAAGTAGCCATTGCCTGGGAGTTTGAGGCGTAGCTGAGAAGCAGGTCGTCCAGTACAGCACGTGTTGCTGTCAGTTCGGCCGTAGTTAGCGCTGTGAATGCGTATGACAGTCCCTTGATCTAAAAAAAAAAATAACATTCAGCTTTAGTAATAAAATGTTAAATTTCTTGGATGAAAAAACAAGTGATACATTATGATTTGTGGCAGTCAGCTCTTGCAATTTTGCTATAAACACACTAATACTACTTTCTCAAAGAGAAATAAGCAGTGCTCATGTAGCATAATACACACCACACATCAGGGTATTATTTGCATGTTCGCAGATCACACTTGAACCTACAGAACACAGAGGATGCAAGAGCAGTTTAGTAAAGTGAACACCATAATCTTTCAAATAAAACAGGCTTGGGCTTGTGTGTACTATGATAACACCTTTGAAAAGCATGTCTGGTCTTGACTGGTTTGTGAGCTGCTGGTAAACAGGCAGTGTTGGGAAGGTTACTTTGGAAATGTAATAGGTTACAGATTACAAGTTACCCTACTTAAAATGTAATAAGTAGTGTAACTTTTCAATTACTTTATTAAAGTAATGTAACTGATTACATTTGATTACTTTTTGATTACTTTTCTAAATGTCTAATATTTTCAACTGTTAATCACTTTCAAACATGTAAACCAGGCAGGGTTAACATTACAATATGTGCTCAACACTGATAACCGTCAGACTTTCGAAATCCTTCATCACTTGAATAAAGATTATAATATTTTAATTTTAAAGGAGACATTGGATGCGAAATATCTTCATTTGCATATAAATGTGTCTTAGCAGTGTGTGGACACAACCACCCTACAATGATAAAAATTCACTACTTTTTTTTTAACCCCCCAAAAACCTAAACAGTCAACAGTTAATCTTTAAAAAATGAAGCATAGCTATATATAAACCCATATAGGAAATAAAAGAGTTATCGAATAAGCTTGTTCTAAACTCCTGAAACATTGTTGTTTCATATTTTAGAGCAGTCACTGCAATTTATGAAAGAACTCAATTAAATATGTATGTGGGAGTGTTTGTGAAAAAAAATCAGATGTAACCCCCTTTGTAATCCTTAACATTTTCATAAGTAACTGTAATTTAATTACATATTTTATCTTAGTAACTGTAACTGATTACAATTACTTTTATTTTGTAATTAAATTACGTAATTCCGTTACATGTAACTAGTTACTCCCCAACACTGTAAACAGGAGACAAGTAACTCTGAACTCAGATGTTCTCTCCTAAATAAGGCTGACATTTTAATTCCTCTAAACCAGGGGTGTCCAATCATGCTCCTGAAGGGCCGCTGTCCTGCAGAATTCAGCCCCAACCCCAATTAAACACACCTGAACCAGCTAATCAAGGTCTTACTAGGCATACTACAAACTTCTAGGCAGGTGTGCTGAGGCAAGTTGGCGTTAAACTCTGCAGGACACCGGCCCTCCAGGACAGAGTTTGGACACCTCTGTTCTAAACTCTTCCTGAACAGAAATGAATAGGAAGTAGGGAGGTTAACGGACACTCATTGGCTGCGGATGGGACACAAAAATAAGAGATCGCGAGTTACTAGTATATGCCAACGCAGGGATCAGCAAAGACTGTATGTGTCGCAAACACCTCACAACTTTCCAGGCCATTTGCAGCTTTATGCCAAAAAAAGAGAGGTTTACATTAGTCATTACAAAAAACAAAGAGGTACAGCAGAAATTACATACAGCATCCATCTACCTTTTGGACACAGGAGCCAGTGCATTGGGTGAATAGCAGTTGGTGTTTTGGAGCTGTTCGGATGGACGTCCTTCAGAGCAGGTGGTTTTATCTGTACGTCCATAGTTTGCAGTATTTATCTGAATCCTACCGTTATCTACATGGAGATAAAAAAAATAGCATTTAAGAATTTGTGATCTAATCTATTGAAACAAAGTTAAAGTAAAATTGCTCACCACATTTCAAGTAACTGTATCCATCCTGACAAGTCACACTTGTTTCTGGAAGAAGGCGGCAGTTACAGACTTGCACAGAAAAGGACATTTTAATGAACAGGAAATGGAAGAGAGAGAGAAAAAGAAAAAAACCTGCTGGGATGCAAATGTGGTTGGTAGTGTAGTACTTGTAGGTGCCAAAACATGGATCTTGTTCCAGTCCTCGAGTGTTTATCTCACACTCTCTCAGTCCATCACATCTGTGGATAAAGACAGTCCTAACCGGATGTTTGGAAACATGAGTCAACATAACCAACAACAGTCAAAGTGACCATACTTCATTTTTTGAACAGCTTAGTTAAGTGCCTTGTGCGTGCGTCACTATTAAGACGCTACAGGAACCTCTGTGCTACTTTTGTTAATTACAGTTTCCAACAACTACAGTAGGAAAGATGCCCAAAGTAAAAATATGAGCTGCGCCTGAAACCGCATTGTGTCTAGTCGTACGATATTACTTAATGATGTTACAGTGCATTCCATGCATTTTGAATATTGGTAGTATAGATGTATTAATCTGAATACATCTGTCATGTTACTGTCACATGACCTGCAGCATCAGTTGTGTCACATCACTACCATTCACTCCTATCCTGTGGCACCATCAGATGCACACTTTAGAATCGCAGAAGTAGTAGGTCATCTGGGTACTTTTCACCTACTGTTGTTTTTTGTTTGTTTTTTGAATACTATAAATTTGGACATACTATTTTCCATGTACCGTTTTTCGCCTACTTTATAGTATGGAAGTAGGCATATTCAGATGCAGCAATGGTGTCAATTTAATAAACTCAGTGTAAACACAGCCAGTCAGTTCACAATGAAAGCATCCAAACTGCTAAATTTAACATGTGTAACAACTGCAAAGCATCCAGTATGTAAACAATGATTACATTCCATTAAAAAGTAACTTGCATATTTTTAAATGCATCTTTGTGCATCTTTAACGTGACATGATATATTAGGAAGCAAGTGAGCAGTCCATTCTTGAATTTCATGTGTTGGCAGCAGGAAAAATGAGCCATTAAAAGTATCTTGTGGAGTTCGTGCCTCAACGCATCAGATGTTTTAGCAGCAGGAGGGGGACCTTGCTATATGACATCATCAGTGTTGGGCAGTAACTAGTAACTTAGTTACTGTAATAATAATACTTTTTGTTTACACCTCTGCCCCTCACTCAAACCGGCATTTCTGGCATCGGAGGCAGGCATGTTAACAAGAGCGCTAAAGACTGCAGACTTTAGCGTCAGTCGCTAGCAGTGTTGGGCAGTAACTAGTTACAATAATAATAATACTTTTTGCAGTAACTAGTAGTGTAACTAATTACTAATAAGATTTCATATTACAGTTACCATCCATAAAACAGCTTAGTTACTTAGTTACTTTTGATGCCCAAATCACGCTAATTTAAAATCCAACAATCAAATAATTTATTAAATATTAAATTATTTATTAAATATTAAATAATAACAAATAATTTATTTTCATAATTAAATATAATCGCATATGCGTAACGGAGAAATTACAATTAGCCTCAAGCTACACATGACAGTTAATGAGATTAATACAACACTTCTACTTGAATGTCACTATCAATCACTAGAATTTTATGTGGAAGATTTAGTTCAACACAGTTACAACTTCTGTGGGGCGTGAAGAAAAAGTAATGTAACTAGTAGTGTAACTAATTACTGTTGCCAGAAAGTAATACGTAAAGTAACAATATTACTTTTGAAATGAGTAACTAGTAATGAGTAATATATTACATTCTTTGAGTAACTAGCCCAACACTGGACATCATGCAGGTGGTTTTAATGTTGTGGGCTGATCAGTGCAAAGCCACAGAGTAAGGACTCAATTTTAATCATTCTTCAGCCTGAAGTTTGAAAGAAAAAGATTGCTACAAAGATTGGTCGTCCAATGCTGCAAATTTTGCTGCGTGTGCGGCCACAGTTTGCTGACTGCACATGGATCACCCCAGAGTCTGAATAAAAGAAAAGCATCATTACATCACACACTACTTTGCATACAATATACAACAAATAAATAATTGTGTGACAATACAACATCTTACCACAACTGAGACACTAAACAAACCCATCACATGTAATTACAGTCTCTGAAAAGATAAGATTCCGGTTTCATTTGTCATTAGTAACAAGGTGAGCAAAAGTCAACAAACTTTAAGCAGAACTGATGGTGTGTTTGTATGCCTTCAGCACATATGTATTGAGTTAACTCATGACAATTTAAAGGGGTCATATGATGCTGCTAAAAAGAACATTATTTGGTGTATTTGGTGTAATGAAATGTGTTTATGCAGTTTAAGGTTAAAAAAACACATTATTTTCCACATACTGTACATTATTGTTTCTCCTCTATGCCCCGCCTTTCTGAAACACGTCGATTTTTACAAAGCTCATCGTTCTGAAAAGCAAGGTGTGCTGTGATTGGCCAGCTATCTAGTGCGTTGTGATTGGCCGAATACCTCAAGTGTGTGACGGAAATGTTACACCCCTTACCATACTGTGATGGCGTGTCCCGGCCGGAGCGACGAGACAAAAACATTAAAACCCATTATAAACGAGGCATTTGTTGCATCCAGTGGGGACATAATTACGGATTATAATGGCTTATACTCTTTTTTTCGTTGCGTTGCATCGCGCCGAGTAAACATAAAACCATGTCTGCATTTGTAATCGGAGAAATGACAAACAACAAGCGCTACTCTACACTGCCCAAAACTCACGTTTGAATCATCAGTGGCAAATTCTTTAAATATAAAAAACATACTTACAGTCTGTGAGCAGCCGGCATTGTAGTCTACTCTCCCAGGATCAGGAAACAGTCCTCCATAAAATGTGCTGCACACATCTGAATATTTGGGTTAAACTGTTCTGGAACAGTGTTGTAAATACAACTTAACCACTGATTTCTAGAATATCTCTTTGGATTTGAGACTTTAGTCTTTGCAACTTTACAGATCTTCTTTATGCACCAAGAGCTTGTAACACTCCAAAGAGAAAGGAAAAATTTAAATCGCATCATATGACCCCTTTAAGCTCATGACATTACATAATATTATTATAGTGTGAGGATCTTAAATGTGCAACTCAATATATGCCGCAGTAATCTGACGCCTTGTGAGCGAAAATGCGTTGTTTGTTTTTCTGACATAATAGAGATTGGAGTCTTCATGTGCTCGTTCACCAGTTCAACCAAAACAACAATGGAAGATTGCAACAGTTTAAGATAGAATACCAAACAACTAAATACAACATCCAGTGAAATATAAACACTCTTGTACCTCTCCTTTCCCATTTCTAAAATTAAATCAAATAAAAAGAAAAGAACTTACAGGTAAGTATGAAGACACTAAAATCGAGCATTGAAGAAAGGGGAAATGCCTCTAGCATACTAAAGTTGTTATTAGTTGAGAGGATCTATTTACAGAGGCTACATTTCCTTCCGACCTCATGGCCCGCTGGGTCAACAGTCTATGGTCAAACCCAAGTGATTAACGTTTGTAATTGGCTCAAGAGTCTTGCGTCAAGACCTGCATTAAAGGTACAATATGTAAGATTTTTGCATTAAAACATCCAAAAACCACTAGAACAGTTTTATATATTTTGTTGAGCTGTACTTACATCATCCCAAATTTCCAACAATGATTAAATCCAGAGAAATCCGCAATTAACTAGTCACTGTCTTTATCAACGGCATCATATCCCCCAACCTACCCTGCTTGTACAGCATGTATTCTTGTTCAGTGCTAATTTCTATACATTGTTAACATGTACTTGCATTTTTAAAACTGTTGTTCGTAGATATCATGAGCATCATGCTCTAATGTCATCAAATTGAACCTTATTGTAAAGTGTTACCATTTTATAGTACTTTGATTGATTCCTTATTAGCCTTTTAAACTCATTATTTCAATATATATATATATATATGAACTTGGAGATCTTTGGATCTCTTAGCCCCTTAGTTGTTACCAATTTATAAAGATCCCTTTATCCTGGAAGACTTCCCCATGTGGACTTCAGTCGACATTCACTACCATGTAAGTGTTTAATACTTGAATCAATATGCTAGGAAAGGCTGGACTACACTATGAATAGTCACCCCTAATGTGTATTGTTAAATATGACAGAGTATGAAGGTAGTGACTTGATGTGCACTTGACACTGTAATGCAGATAAAACGACAACAGAGTGAATATGAAAAGACTTTATTTACTGGAAAGAAACCATCTTTTAGAACAGACCATTAAACATGGTGGAACTTTGAGGGAAAATCTCCCTTGTACACTTGCCTTCAACAAACACTGACTGTTTATGTGAGAGAAAGGTAGAAATGGTAATACAACCACTTCTCTTGCATTAAAACATTCTCATTTCCCCTCAGTGGGCATGATGGTCATATGAGAAGTTTTTATGTTACATTTTGGTAGTATAGTACAGATGTTTAGCCATGAATACACAGCATGATTATTCTTACTACTTCTAAGTCTTTGCAAACCATTAAGTGATGCCTCCAACCAGCTTTGCAACCAGAAAAAGAAGTGTTAATAATCAAGGTTTCAACTTGAAAATTTATATTCTGGAATAAAAATCTTCTGTAATTACTTCAAAACTGTGCAAAGCTTATTTAGTGTTGCCAGAATTCTTTGATTCTACATGTGACTCCTCTTTGCTCATATCTCTTCCAGATCCAATCAAACCAAGGCGCAAAAGCATGGCAACAATGACCTATACTAGTCCAAAACAATCAATCTCTGGAGCAAAACTTTGATCTGTAGTTTGCTCTTAATAATCATCTATCTTGTAATTGTAGTTGTAGTCCAGTGCATCTGTCAACTTAATCTCTTCTGGTGGGGTTGTGTTCTCTTCAAAAATTTCCCCAAGAGGCCAAGAGTCATACCAGGGAGTTGTACTCTCTGTGGTAGGTGGAACTGTAGTTGTGGTCATCGTGGTTGTGGTAGGTGGTGTTGTTGTTTTGCTGGCTAGAAGCCTCTGTTGCCTTAGGCGGCGGATTCTCATTAGCCGTAATCGACGAAGACGAGCCCTTCTCATGACCCCACCATTACCGTTAAGAATTTGGTTACTGAATTTAGAATTTGGGATTTGGTTAGTGCTGTATGTATAGCGTTGTCCACTACCCCTGTTGCCACTGCTCAGCAATCGGATGGGTCTATTGCCATGTAGAGCCATGATCTGTTTGATGCGGTCCCAGTTAGATTTGTTGAGGTCAAAGTTGCACAAGGTAGCGCCTGGGTCGAACCCTACCACACATAGACGTGTGAAGGGGGAGTAGCCTTCTGCTCGGGCCGTTACACGGTACTCACCGGGATTTAGAAGTCGCCAGTAATCTCCAGATTCACCTAAGAGTAGAAGTCTTTTTTGAAACTGTCCAGTACCCTAAAAACAGGACAATTTTCAGAACTACAGAAAATATCTCACCTGTCCTAATGTCATGGTTGACTCCCTCCACAGACACAGTGGCATTGGAAATAGGGTTGCCCTCCTTATCCCTCACAACTCCCTTAATGCCCCGATGCACCTGGGAAAAGGATCGTGGTTAACGTAAGGTTGCGCAGGGCAGTGTTGTAGTCAAGACTTAAGTCAATCTCAAGCTTGATTCCAAATTTTTAGGAGCATTTGGACTCGGCAATGACTTTGACTCGAATGATCTTGCCTCGAATAGTCATAGAAAATATGGTTTTGGACTTGAGTCCGAGTCTGGTTTTGTCCAGATTCAAGTACTACAACACTGGTGCAGGGTTCTTAAAGTCTTACCTACAAGGGATTTTCTAAACACTTGCGACTGATATCAGTAGCTCACCTGAGCCATGAAGGTCAGCAGGGCCTCTTTGTTATGCTCCCACTCTCTTAAAAGTTCACTCTGATGAGGGAACTTATCACAGCCCAGGAAAATGGACAGCTCAAAACAGTTAGTGCGAAGGTAGCTGAAGTCATTCATACCTACAAGAGACAAAGGGACAGGAATAGGTATTAAAAAGAAAATGAGTCTCTAGGGTGTCAGAGTAGATTCAAATTGATCCTACAGATCCTTCTAGATCAGTGGTTCTCAATGAAGTACCCCCAGCACTGCACATTTTGTATGTCTCCCTATATCTGACACACCCACTCCAGGTCTTGCAGTCTCCACTAATGAGCTGATGAGTTGAATAAGGTGTGATAGATGAGGGAGACATACAAAATGTGCAGGGCTGGGGGTACTCCAGGACAGGTTTGAGAACCACTGTTCTAGATCAAGGGTGTCCAATTCTGCTTTTGGAGGACCACCTTCCTGCAGAGTGTAGCTTCAACCCTAATTAAATACACCTGAACCTGAGCTGAAAGCTAATCAAGGTCTTCCGGATTTATCCATTTGTTGTGGTGTATCGACCTCTCGATAATACTGTTTCTGGTTCCAAGCTTCTATTCCATCTCAGTTTGGAATACTGTCTCAACAGACAGTTAGTAACACTATTCATTTATAGTACACCTTTAAGCTAAGCTACTAAGATATTCACAGTGTATACTGCCGTCTCCAGACTCACAGTGTCAAGGACACCAATATTTTATTGATTCAGAAAAGATTAATGTCTGTCTGGCTGAATGAGATTTCGGTGTGGTGTAGATTAGCACTGTTTGTTGTTTGCTTCTGGTATTAGAAAAAGCCTTTGGACCTGGAAACGTAACTCATAACATCAGACTTAACAACTGGATAGAAACTTCCAGGCAGGACTGGGGAAGCTAATCTTTGCAGGAAGGTGGCCCACAGGAGCAGGATTGGACACTCCACTTCTAAATCATCCACTTAATGGTCAATCACATGATTGTGCAACACAAATCCCTAATGCTCACTTCCTGGGATGGGCTTCCACTTGGCACGGTTGACAATTCCCATCCCACCTGTTGGGTCATCAGTATGGCATCCTCCCTGATAGGTTTGAGTCATAGTGCGGTGAGTAGAGGCGTAAGATATGGCCAACCAGCGGAACATAGATTGGTCCTCAATCACTCTGATCTCCTCTTCTGGTTCACCTTCTCCATATCCCTCCCTGTACCCCTCTGAGTATCCTTCTTGATGATAACCCTCATGGTATCCTTCAGAGTGACCCTCATGATGGTACCTTTGGTTCTCATCATGGTACCCTTGGCTCTCGTCGTGATATCCTTGGCTCTCCTCATGATATCCTTGGTTTTGATGGTGATACCCATAACTTTCTTGATGGTACCCATAGTTCTCTTGATGATATGCATGGCTTTCATGAGGGCCACTGTAGCTCTCCTGATGGTATCCAGTGTGAAGGTAAGGGTTGGGTTCTTCTTCTTCCTCTTCCTCATACTGTCGCTTACGTCTGTTTGCTCTAGAGTTTAGTTTTTTCTCCATCTCCTCAGACTCCTTGGTGAGCCGGCGCATGTCAAAGGGGTATGTCACCAGTCTCTCGCCACCCTGCAGGTTGGCACCAAGCACAAATGGATGGTTCTCCATCCAGGAGATAAGGGCAAGAGTCTCCACTGCAACCTGAAAGGTAGAACATAAAGAATATTATACAACAGTTGGTTTCTGTCCTATAAATTGATTGGCCAAGTTCAAGGCATTCAAGACAAGAGTATGTGAGTGGTGCGTTGATCCATTAAATGTACATAACACAGCATTATTTCCTTACTTACTGAGCCATTGCTTGACAGAATACCCTCAGGGATGGGTACATGGTGATTTGATATTAATTTGGGCACCATGCCCTTATCCTCTGCATCCCAAAGAATGTTATTTAAGTCTGGAAAGTTCTGGAATATGTCATGGCCATCTTCAGTCCAGTGCCCTAATGTCCAGCTGCCCAACTCAGAGCCCTGTGAAACAAAGTGACATTGCTTACATTACTTTAATGACATTAAAGTGTCACAACACCATTTCTATTTGCACATTTGGTAGACTATTTTATCCTCATTGATCTATTATTGATCAGTTAAACCTGTTCAGTTGATAAATCACTTAACTAGCGAATGACCTTGGCATTGCTAGCACGATACACTACTGGTAAAGTGAAGTTAACAGCTTATATGTAAATGATACGATTTTATGCAAGACTATAAGCCATGATGGTTGAATTCCTAAAGAAATAAATGTGCCACTTCCAAAACATTGCTCTGTTAATTTTAGCAGTCCAGCATGTCAAATTCTGGCTCAGTCAGTGGCTGAGTTTGGAACAGGGCTATCTGTAATAAGCTATTTGGTGAGGACATACTTCTTTACCAAACATGTACTTGTTTACTAGCTCAACTGGTGAATTTACTAACATTGTAACTTTAGCTTTTTCTGCATTAGCTTAATATTACTAAATACTAATATTAGATATCCAAGATTTTTGGGAAATCAGTTTGAAAGCAGTCATTATTTAAGCAATTTCTGGCCACCTAGTAACATCACATTTCACTTTTAACCTTTGCATACATTATAACGCACCTTTTCAAAAGCTTTCATATGACCATCAGGATTAACTGATGGCACCAGATGAATTCGTGTCTCATCCACAAGGTGGCGAACTCGAGGGTTGCCATCTTTGTACTCTCTACACAGGTACTGCATAAGCATCAGAAGAAGCTCTCGTCCCAAAGCCTCATTACCATGATAACCTGCTGTGTACCTGAACTCTGGCTCTCCTGAGAAAAGATGGTATGCTCATGAAATGGATAATGAACATAATTATATTGCTTGTTTCAGTACCTGTAACCATACTGGAATAATAATACTGTCTTCCATATTTACTCTGATGTTTCTCACCTGTTTCATGCGTCCCAGGATTATCAGTAATCTCCATGGCATAAATTTCCAGACCGTTAAAGCTTTTGCCCAAACTGTAGAATCTGGTGATGTTGGGACACTCATCAGAGATGGATTTCATGAGCTGTGCCAATAAGAAAAGTCACATTTGGAAGCAATTAGCACATATTTAGCGGTTTGTTGAAATTCACTCATCCCAAATAGTTTGTGCTACAAATATCAGTGACACCTCAAATCTTGTGGTTTAGAAATCCCTGGCAGCCACCCACAATTTTCTTAACTATAAACTCTAGTGTATTTCTTATATCTTTTTTCCATTCATGAACTTTTAAGACTCCAGGCATTGGCACTCTCCCTTCACCTTCTCCATGTCGAGGTAGTTGTGATGGGTGTAGTTCAAGTCATCTCGATGCATCACTTCATTCTGACTATGGTACTGGCTTAGAGGATCTGAGTAAAGAGCAAATGCAAAATATTGAGTAATATGCCTAAACTATTGATAAACAGGTATTTAAACATTGTGGATCCAGACAGGAATATCAGTAATAGGAAATACTTTATCAGCACACAATGCACAAACAAACAAATATAAAGACCATCAACAGGTCCTGAGTCTCTCACCTGGTACTGGGCAGCCCAAAACCTCCATCCTCATACACATGGTGCCATTCCAGCTCTGTGGCAAGATGCGTATATAACGCGCCACTACCGGCTCCATAAACTGAGACAACACTGGGGTGTTTTTATCGGAGTTACCAAAGAATAACTGAGAGCAAAAAGAAGGGAAACAAAAAAAAGAAACTGAATTGTTGATGTAGGTAAGAATGTACAGTAGGTAACTGTCTGGTTGCCTACAGTACATTCTTCAAAATATCTTCTTTTGTGTTCAGCTGAAAGAAACACATACAGTTTTGGAAAAAACTTGAGGGTGAGTAAATGATGACAGAATTTTCATTTTTGGTTAACTCTTTTTAAGCACCACAAAGATTTGGCAACCAAAAGAAGAAGAGAAAATGATGGCAACCTACCCATTCAGCATATCCATCATGAAGGACAGTCCACTCTCTGCTGTCATTACTAAACGCCACATAGTAAGAAGACACATAATCGCTCCTGAAACAACAAAACAAAATTACAAGGACTGTAGATGTAGACTTTAGGTAGTCTACTGTGCGAGGGCTCCAAGGTTTCTAATGTCTGTCTTACTCTAAGGGGTCATCTCGACCCTGAGTGATAACGCCAGTGAACTCTGTTAGTGTGCGAGCGTCCAGTTCAATCCAGTGGACTTTCTCTTCAGAGTTAGCACACCATGACCCACCATTCATATCATCTTCATCCCCAGACGCCTGTGAGATGAACCAGTAAAACACCACATCACATTTAGTTCAGTTGCCAGTAATACATTTTCAGAGTGACTATCTGCATATGTTTGTACCTGAATATTGAGACGAGCTCTGTGTGAGCCATAGCGATGTTGATAAACAGAGGAAGTCAGCAGCTGGTCATTCTCTATGCGGTGAGACTCCATACCCAGAGGAGGACAAACTGATACACATCGCAAACCAGAGAACAAAATTAATATGGACAACATGTTCACACAATATGTTGAAGTACAGACTGAAATCAGTTTATCTGTGCTTTCTCACTAAGCACTGTGCTACACTTTCTGAAGGCACCACATTATTTCAATTTACGTCCTTTTATTTATACTTTTTGCTTAATGTTCTTAGTCATTTTAAAATGTATTTTTCTTTTTATCATTATATTTTTATATATTATTACTTTTTATTTATTTTAAAACTGACACTAATATGTATGATAATGTATAAATATATACAGGTACATATATATTTATATTAGTTTTAACTAGCAAGGTAAATGGAAACAATATAGACAGACTATGCACAAATTATTGTGTCATCAAGATGTAACGAAACAACAACTATAATGGAACTTAACATATATTTAACTCATAACTTACAACCATAACTTGCAACTTATATTTAACTTAACTTATAACGTCAAAACAATTTGTTCTGCCACTTGTCTTAATTCAGAGTAATGCGCCTTAAGATGAAGGACTACATCCATGCATGTGTTTCTTGAGCAGGGAGGACATTTGGAATTTCCTTTGAAAAGAACCAGCTGTGGAATTGGAGCAGGATTTGGCAGGATTCAGCATCTGTAATGACTTAAAAACAGCTAAAGTCTTACAAAATGTTTTAAGGTCTCATATTCACTTGAAACTAATGAAGGCTTCATCAAGATATCACTATTTCAGTTACGTTTGTTAGCATTAATTATGTTAGCATTAATTAGCAGTAATATCTAAGACACTAAAAACAAGACACTGAACTGAATGCCGAGGTTTTGCTTTAAGCAACATATTTGTTTGGCAAGATCTGCGGCTAGAACTGAGAGCTGGGAGAGCTTCAGTATTACATCACTTGAGTGCTCTTGTATAAGTTTGTTGCATGTTAGTGTTTTATTTATTTTTTCACAGTCATTTTGCCCTGAGTGTATGTATTGCTCTATGTTATCTATTAAGTGATGGATCCCATCTGGCTACATGCCTAAACCGAGTCCCCACCACTCACTTTTAGGCTCTCTGTACACGCGTGGTGGAGGTCTGTGAATCCTGGGTTCTCTCTCCTCCTCTTCCTCATGCCTCCTCTCTTCTCTTTCTGAGGAGACAAATTATTGGAGAAAACACAAAGTTCACCACTGATACTATGGATTCATTAGCATGAAATATAAAGATTAATCTCTTAACTTCCTGGTAATTAAAGGGATAGTTCACCCAAAAATAAACCTGAATGAGTTGGCAAAAACCAGTATCACGGGACTCCATATACTCCAGTATTTTGTCTTGTTTCTAGTCAGCGTGATTGTCAGGCCTGTATGAAAGTGAGTTTTGATTGAGTAACTTGTAGATCTGTACTGCTCGAACCACAAACTGTTTCAGATAATTCAGTCCAATTTGGTGAACTGGTTTATTCAATTCACTAAAAAGAACCGGTTCAAATGAATGATTCATTCGCGAACAGGACATCACTCTACAGTAGACTTTTGTCTCTGTATTACAGGTAATAATGTTGTAAATAAGGTTCAGTTTCTTGCACAGCCCGATCATTTCGCTTCATAAGACCTCAATTTATCGTCAGGAGCCATGGTTATTAATTTTGTATTCCTTGATATGCTTTTTTCCCCCCTCAAAGACAGGCAGCCACTGACTTCAATTTTTTACATTTAAGAGCGCCACAGAGCAACACTCCACATATAAATCAACCTGTGAGTTGTCTCACTAATAGTTTCTGCACATTAAACTGAAAAGAGAAAATATTTTAAAAAAATACACATGAAAAAATAACAAACTTACCTTTCACAAACAATCAGGTGAGCAATTTGAAGAGAAACATACACACATGAATTTAACACCAAATATCTTGCTATGCTTTTGGCAAACATTATAGACTGTTCACAATCCTCTGGAATGTTCTGGAGCTCCATTTCCATTTATCTTTACAATCCAGAGATGGAAGGATGTAATAAAGATCTGTGCCCTGTAAATCTGAAGATTATTGTTCTTAAAATGTTCAAAGACCAGTCATTGTAACATAATGGTTTTCCAGTTAACATCTTGACCATATATTCGCAAATCAAAGATAATGTCCTTTAAACAAGTTAGCATCAGTTTTTGCTTTTTAAGCAAGTAGCAAGCCCTTTTAGTGTCATTCTAAAACTGTCAAACTTCAGGTCGTGGTTCACATGTCTTTTTGCGGTAAAATTATTATTTATTTTTAGTAAATGTAAGAATAAAAATGTAAGAATAACTTTAAAATTATTAGTAATTTAGTTTAAATATGAACATTTACTATACTAAAGCAATTTCGGTTTACTGGATTATCCATACATAATTTTTTAGAAAAAAACCATGTATCAAATATTCACAGTATCACTATAATTTCCTTTCTTTTGACCCATTTTTACAAATTTAGGAATGACACATGCTTATTTTCGGTGGTAATGCTACAGATGCTGTTGATGGAGCATAACTTTTGTTGAACCTGGAACTTTCTTCATCTCTTTCTCAGCTCGCTTTCTAATTTTGTTTGTTATGTCCTGTTCTACAATATCCTGCATATCAAAATTGTCCTAATTCCTGCTCCACCGCCTTAGGTCAGTGCAAAGGATATTGTTCAGTCTGTTAGGAACCAAAACTGAAAACAGAGCTCATGGGAACAGGGTCCGTTCTCTGTTGTTAATGAATGCTTGTCATTCAGTAATTTCCCACAAAGTCTATAATCAAGTGTAAGCAGATTGTGGGGCAGCTGGAAGACAAAACAGAGGGGATATTCATGCTAAAAGTGTTATTTAAATCATTTGTATTGCAGAGAGTTCAGAGAGTCCTGTTGAGGACTGTTGGCCATGCACATTAATGTTTTTCATCAGTAAGGTATTTTTTTCAGTTCAGCTCAAGACAAACCAAACAAAAGGAATTAATTAACATAAAAGAACAAAAGAAAGTTCATGATCTTGCTTGTGAATTGTATGTCCTAGTATCCGATTGAAACCAATGATAGTCTAATACACTTACTGGAATTAATACATTACCGGTACTACACTATTGTTGTGGTAGACTGAATAGTAGTTATGGTCCTCTAAATTGAACTGTTGTTCTGAACATCAGCACGGCTGTGAGTACCTGCAGTTTAGTGTCTACATGTTCAGTACAACAGTACTCTTATTAGCTGACAACTTACAGTATATGAGGGTAAAAACACTGTACCTTTTTCCTCTTGCTCTTTTCTTTCTCTTTCTCTCTCTCTTTCCCTCTCCTCTTCCAGTTTCTTTTCTGTTGACAAAACAGAAACGAAGGGTGTAATTGAACGCATTAAATAACAGTTCAGTGTCACACACTAAGTACAGACGGTTTCTCAAGTCTGAGATCACTGAATTTTAAAAATTAAAACAAAGTTACATATTACAATGCATGAGAAATAATCCATATTCCGAGCTTTTAGGTCACTAATCAGTTTTTAACAAAGTTTTGGTTTTGGAAACAAAACATACATATTTTATTCATTAAAGCAAAAGAGGACAAACAAAATACTAAATTCAAAATATCTAAGACAATTCTAACTGAAAGTCATATGTGCAACTAAAGTGGATTAGATAAAAATTGAATCCGATAATCAAAATCAAAATGGTTCCTGACACATTTGTCCTTTAGGCTTTTGCCAGATTTCCATTTTATACCCTAATAAAAACAGGCTCTGCCTGCATAATCAGAAACCGGTGACATTTTTCGTTTTTACTCCAGGACATAGTTTTGTTACAAAATAAAATTGTATTTATCTAAGATAAGTGCTCCATGCACCACATATCATCTTACCTCTTAAAACTTGATAACAGAGGTAAAAAGCGTTTTATACATGCACTTTTTTTTTTACAGTAAGGTATCATAAGTTAACATTAGTTAATTCATCAACTAACATTAACTAAGAATGAGCAATACATTAGTTACAATATTTATTGATCTTTGCTAACGTTAGTTAATAGTACAACTATTCATTGTTAATTCATATTAGCTCAAATCCATTAAATAATATTAACAAATACAACTTTTGATTTTAATAATGCATTAGTAAATGTTAAAATTAACATGAACTAAGATTAGTAAATGCTTTATTAGTATTTTTCATTGACTAATATTAACAACCATATTGTAAAGTGTTACTGATTTTCTTTTCTTTGTTAAATAAAATTTAGTTGGGGAGGAGATATACTGCAAGACAATAGTAGCTTTCTGGTTGGAAAATATTTCCATTTATAATTTTCATCTAATGTCAACATGACTTCAAATGTTCAGCTTGACATCAAGCGGCACCTCTGCGTCTCTGAAAGAGTTTATTTGAGTGCAGAAATGACAGGTCACACTGTATGTACTCTCATTAAGACGAGAGCGAGGCCAACACCTCTCATGCCGTCTCACTGTATGTTTGTTTTCTTTTCAAAATAGAGTATCAAAGCTGTATGTACCATGTCCATATTCATATTCTTCATACCAGTTGTTTTCAAATGGAGGGACGGTGGGCTCCTCTGTGACAGAAAAGAAAAGAAATGCAGGTTAAATTTGGGAGTTTTACTCACAGTACAGTAGAGAAACTTTAATGACTCATAAAATGTTTGCTAAATGTCTGTCGCTGCTTGTCCGCTGTCTTTTGTAAGAACCACACTAGACATTGTGGATTTTAAATGGTGTAAAAACAAGATCTTTCATGAGATGGGTGTATATTGTGGTAAAAGTTTTATTTGGTTCACACACAGATTTACAGGGTGCTTAAATTCACTCTTTTGTAATGTAAAATATAGCAATAAAACAACTCTGAGACAGCAGAAACCTATTAACCCAACTGACTGTTAAACCGACTTTTTTTGTTTCTGTTTTTAACGTTTGAAACTAATAACAATTGCATAATGAGAACAATGTCATTTTAAAACTTAGTAAGTAGCAGCAGTCTACAATAATAGTGAAACAAAGAAGTAGCACAAGAATATTTAATAAATCATAATTTATTCTCATTTTATTTTGAATAGGGCACAGCGTTTAGAAGGAATGATCAGTTTACCTGTGGTAGTGTAATGCCAGTCATTGTCAGTAGAGCTGATCTCTTTGCCATCAGGGAAAGGCATGTTTTCTGCCACCTCATCTGTTGCCAAAAAAGGTTTGTTAGCTGAACAATCAGTAATTTGTGACAGTTGCTAACTAACTTTAATTATTGGAAGACTCACATCTGGCATCCCAGTAATCAACATCCTCATCAGGTGGACGGCCAGCGATCACTGAGGTTGTAGGTGTGGGTTCATCCACCTTCCAATAGTCATCGTCTGACAGTAAATTAAAGGAAATGGTAATCCTGATGAACAAAAGTGGTGTTTATTTACACAGACATGAGTGATGTTCTGCTTACATGAGTCAGGGTAAGGTGGGGAATACTCGTCCGTGTCAGGAGGAAAGTCTGTTGGAAATTCTGTGGTTTTCTCAATCGGGGGGTTTGTAGGCTTTGCCGCTGTTGTTGTCTCTGCAGGAAATTCTGTGGTTTTCTCAATCGGGGGGTTTGTAGGCTTTGCCGCTGTTGTTGTCTCTGCAGGAAATTCTGTGGATACCAAACAGTCTTTGTGAGTGCTAGACGATTCTAATGAGTCATATTCCAGATCACGCAAAACAAAATCTTGATCTTATTACAGGCGCGGCATGTTCTCCAAGGTTGTTTAAATATGCTTCAGCAGAAGCTACAAGTCACTTAATTTCTTTTTTTTTATGGCTAAATATAGGGAAATTCCAGGTGAAGAACTACACTCCCCATAATTCCTGAAGAGAGATCCACCAATCAGAGAAGCTGCTGTTACCATACAAACATAAATTGTGACAAACTTATATAATCAATTTTATATTGTATGCGAGTTAATTCATTTGTAAAACAATGTAATTTGATATTCATATACCGTTTTGCTTCAAATCAGAGTGTGCAATGCTATGATTCATCTCTGAGCTGGTTGGTTTGGTTGCTGAGTCTATATGAAGAATGTTTTGAAATCCCCATGGAGAAAACAAGTGGGAAAATCACTTATAGAGAACCAAGGCGGTCACTGTTCTGCTCCAATCTGCACCAAAAATACACAGATCTAAAAGACTGAGTCTTTTAATGAGAAGGGCTTTTCTAACCTTCATCCCAGTACTGGTCCGTTTCAGGGTCATAAAACTCCTCTTCATATTCAATGGGCACAGTGGTTGTGGGAGCCACAGTGGTGGTGGTGATCGTGGTGGTCTCCTCCCTGTTCTTCTTGCCTTTCTTCTTCCCACCCTTCTCTCCTTTGTTCTTCTTCTCGCCCTTGGGTTTCTTGGTGGGCTTGGGAGCTTTGGGCTTCTTGGTGGGCTTGGGCTCTTTCTGTCGTTTTGCTCTTCCTTCCCTCTCAGTTTCTCGACGCATTCTCTTTGCTTAAATAACACAGAGAAAATGAAAGGGAATGAAAAAAAAAACACAACTTGGCCAAAGTAACCCTCGTGAATTTTGGACAAGTGAGAAAACTGTAGTTTATCCCTCAATCATAAATTATACACATCTAGTTCACTGAAGGTTACTTTAAGGTCTCAAACTGTCTGATGCATATTGGAAACAAAACTGTCACTTTCCAAAAACAGCAAGCTAATCCTATTGGTTGGATTCCAGGGTATATACAGTGGGTACGGAATATATATATATACACTAAGTCCTTGGCTGAGGTCTTTCCACCCATGAGATATTCACCCAGTATCGCCACGAATTTCACATTTATTTACGTTTATTTCATAATATTTCACGTTTGTCCAAATCCACTATAATTGTATAAATAATACTGTTTTTTTGTGTAATGGAATGTAGTTTTAAGAGTTTTTTTAGGCAAGAATGTAAAAATTTGCTTCAACATTTTTCGGAGATTTCGGAAATTATAGTGGATTTGGGCGTACTATGAACCTCACTGTGAGCAATACCGCAAACGGAGTGATGCAAACGGTGAAACAGTTGAAGTTCCGATATCACTTGAATATCACACTCCTGGAAAAGGCTCTCAGCCAATCAGATTCGAGGACCAGAAAGAACTATTGTATATACATATAATTCAGTTCACTTTTATTGACTCTACATAAATTGATTAAGTTAAAACATTCTCCAAGTATATTGCAAGTCTTATTTGGAAGTACTTTTTCCCGCTAGTTTAAGCTTTCTTTCAGTTTTTGCTGTGAGTTAAACCTCTCTCATGTTAAAAATGAATGTTGGGGTTTTTATGTTTCCTTAAGAACCTCTAAAGAACAGTTCCTAAAAGAATCGTTATTTTTTTTCTCAATGTGAATAATCTGAAGAGGAAATCATTGAAGAAACCCCTTTTTTAAGAGTGATTTTAAAGAGTGTAAACATATTTCACAGCTGAAAGAAAAAAAAATACAGCCTGTCATGTCTGTTTTGTTTGAATCTGTCATGACCAAAATCCTGTCAGGCTTAATTGATTTGAGCTGCTTCATCAAATGCAAGAAGTTCGCATTCGGGAAACCATACCAAGAAACAACCAATTCTGGCTTTCTTAAAAGCCTAGTTTTCTCCACTGCAACACTGGCTCCCTCAGTCAACCCACGCTTTTTGGATGCTTGTAACAGGAACGTACAAAGAGAAAGGAATGTATCAGTGTCTACCAGGATGTCTGGCTACACTTTGATAATTCCCTCCAAACTTCCAACACATTGTTCTGGACGACTCACTAATTCAAGCATGATTCAAACAGCCCATCTAGTTACTTCTGCTCCAGATTTTGAAACGAGAAAAAAGTTATCTAAATAATACAAGAAATATTACAATGACTTAGCACACACATTAATAAAAACTTTGAGGAAAAAGTTTCGCACGGTCAATTTTAAGCTCTGTTTGACTCTATTCTACTTCTATACAGTTAGATTATACTTTTTATTATTATAATTGTAAACAATGCATAAATGTCCCTAATATCTGAACATCCATCAAAAAATTTGTTAATGATTAATTTTGTGTGTTCAGATATCGGGTTAGCTGACACTGAAGGGAAGGTTTTGAGAAAGGGTAGTTCAAGATTGCGAAATGGCGGAAGTTAGCAAAATGTTAATCACTTACAGTACATTTAAGTGTAAACACATTTTAACCCATTCATATTTGAAACACTAAATATATTAAAACAGTCAAAATATGACTATTTTAAAACAGTTAAAAATATGTTTCTATGCGTTCACTATTTCTATATCCCTCCTTCTTCTTGCTTGTACTATTTTGGGCAATGTTTGGAGCTTTGCATTGCTAGCACTTCTCATATTATTGCCTCATAATGATGAACCGCTTGTTGTATTGTTAGTCACTTTGGATAAAAAAAGTCCATGGTTCAGTATTTTAATAGTTGCTGACAAAACACTGAATCCAGAATGTTAAAATTGATCATAAAAATGCAGACTGGACTTCATTTCTTGTCATAATATTTGTGATGATAATATTAATGTAAATACTTACAAAGGATGTCCAGCTTGGCCGTAGCTTGTGATTCTGTGTCCCAATTTCTGGCCACACATTTGTATATCCCAGCATTGTTTAAATTGGCATTGAGAACAATGAGAGAGGACAAGGAATTGCCATGACTGCGCACCTCGAGATTGTCACGTTTTGTTAGAATCTTCTCACCATTAGGAGAAAACCAGGCGATCTCCTCTGCACCCCCATCAACTAAGAAAGAACAGGGAAAAAATATTGAACTGAATTAGCATCTGAGCTAGTTCAACAACAAGCGCATATCCAACCACTGCCTAATGTTTTTTATTATTATAATTATTCATTCTCATGCCGTGCCAAACTCCTATGACTTTCTTTCTTCCATGGAAACAAAAGGAGAATTTTTGGATGAATTTCCCATTCTTTTCAAAATACGTTTGCACTATATTCCAAGCCATTTGACAGCTTTGCATGAAGAACAGGCTGAGATTTATATTTTCATTCAATTAAAATGTCCCTCATGCACTCAAATTAAATACTGTATGGTGCCATTAATGTCAATGAAATTTAGTCTCAAATGTGGCATTGTAACATTTGACTTTTGTAGTCCAATTCAGAGCTTTATTGGCTAGTTCCAATCCAATCCCTTTCAGTTTGAATATATTGGAAAGAGTAGCCAGGATGTTCTCCAAAAATTCACCTTTTGTTGTTCATGGAAGAAAGTCAAATGGGTTTGGAACAACATGAGGCTGAGTAAATGATAACAGAACTATTATTTTATGGTTAAACTGGTTTCTCACCTTTGCATAACAATCGTTTGTGTTGTCCAACATGAATCTTTGCATAGAGTGGGATTATCTTCACTTGAAGAATATCTAGAGAAACATAATAAATTATTTTTGGCTCTTCATTTCCACATTTTTCCACATTGTCAACTCATATTTAATTGAAGCTGCACTCTAGTATGCACACAGACTGTCCCATTTAGAGTTCATAGCCTCATATGTTGACACAGACGCTCTGGCTCTTGAAACTCATCCTGTCCTGTCTCCAAAGGGCAGTTTCATCCCTGCTGGGAAAGTTTTAAGCAACATTCTTGCCTGTTGCTGTGAAGTCATTACCCACACAGAGCTAGTCCACAACACCAGTCCTCAGGAGTAATCTGGCAAAAGTTTACTTATTTGTCAGTCAACACTGGCTCGAAACGGTGAAGGGGGTTTCAAAACAGGAGATTTATTTGACCTTTTTGCATTTTTTATTTCCAGAGAGGACAAAAAATGATAAGAAGAAAAGCAAGAACACAGTCAGTCAAACTCATTGTCCACATGAACACCAGAGCATGTGCACTAACCGCTACTCCACCGTTTAGGCCAAAACAGGACTAATGACAGTGGTCAGTGGGTTTCACTGTTTCTTTCCATGCATAATGGTAAAACTGTTTTCACACTGTTGAGAAATTTCCAAAAAATTCTACCTTCCAAGTGGTTTGCTTTTACAACTTCAGAAGGTCAGTTCCAAGATGAGATTTAACAGATGGGCAAAGTATCAAACATCTGACCCTTTTCAGTCTGACAGTCTAGGAGTACTAACTCATCTGGGCTAACAGATAGGAGCAAAGCCTGGGCTGGAGCACAGGTGTGTTTGAAGTCTAGAGCATCTTCAGAATCAAGAGCCACAGCTGGGCCAAAACTGAGCCAAGTAGCCAAGGGTCTTAAAGTCAATGTGAAACCCCATTCAAAACTCATTTGACGTATTTTTAAATAAAACTAAATTCAACAAGATTTTGCCAACTTGGATTTGATTGGATTGTGAAAAGTTGGAATTACATAGCAGAACAGAGCCAGAACGAATGTGAGCTTGACAAAATAATGCTTACATAGCTATTGGTTAATGACAGCCAATAGCCTGTCTACAGTAGTGACATCAGCAAAAAGCAAAGTCATCTCAGAGGAAGAGCAAGTTATTACATTTTAATTAAAGATTGCAAAAACTTTTCTTCTTTGGAATAACATGCATTGATGAATCCTTCACAATAAGACCAGGAGCATATATTAAATGAATAAGGTCAATAGTGATTTCATATTGACTTTAAGTCCTAAAAAGCAACCAAAAATCTCTTACTCTCCCACCAAGGCAGAAACCTTTATGACAATCTTGTGAAATGCTGCTCACTACTTAGGGAGTGACCAATAACATTAAAGATATTTCTGTCTAAGACGTGTATAGTAAATACATACACTCCTATTGGGTTCCACAGGGTAATTCAACCATGTTGGGATGGTTCCTCTGTTTTTCCCATTACTTTTTGTAATTTTACTGATCTGTCCAGTTTGTCAGAGTGAGTCTGCTTCCCTGCAGTTAATGGAAATGCTGTGTTATTGAATACCAAAAGCCTGCCAGTAACCATATTTTCCAAACCTCAGCCACAGTGCTGCTATTAACTCTTAAATTAACTCCTTAATCCAAGTTGCAAGCGTAATGAACCTATGACGTTCTTTTGAAACTCAAGGATAAAAGTCTGTCTTCAACTTCTACAGCACTAGTTTTTCAGCTTCTCCATTAGTCACATTGTGTCAGCTAAATATTCATTTGTACTTGCGTTCTGCAGCGGTTTTCTTCCTCAGTGAGTTGGCTTCTTAGACTTGGCTTCTCCAAGCACAGGTGCAAGTATTGAGTATGCATCTGCCACTGTCAACAAGAGCTTTGCACATGTAACTGCAAAAACTCCTTCAAGAAGAATCCCTGTCTTTGGTAAAGTACCACCTAAAACGTGCTGTAAACTATGTGGAAAATATAACCTGTCAACATAAATGCAGTGTGCTGCTGGAAAACTGCATATTAAGTTATAAGTGCTTTTGTTCCAAATCACAGAAAATTTGTCCTTGGTAACCCGTATGGTCTCTTGAGACTGATTTTATAGTTTCTTACATTAGGGGTCCCAATGACCCCTTTTACCTAATTAAAACCCAGTAGACAGATATTATTGAAGCTTTCAGGGATCATTACAAGTTATTATCAACCTGACAATGCTTATCCACTGGGAACTGATTGGACTGTGAAAAGCTGTCATTACATACCAAAATATAGCCAGAACGAATGTGAGTTGCAAGCATAATGAAGCCGTGACATTCTTTTGAAACACAATGATGAAAGTCTGTCACTAGTTTTTCAGCCTCTCAATTCGTCACACCATGTCAGCTAAATATTCATTTGTATAGGCATTCAGCAGCGTTTTTCTTCCTCAATAAGTTGTCTTCCTAAACGTGGCTTCTCCAAGCACAGGTGCAAGTACATTTTATACAACAGAGTTAAAAAGAACAAGACAGGCAACAGCTATTTTGTCATTTATACCTGCTCCAGTTGTTGTGCTTCTGTTCTCCACATGTTGCTCTGAGGCTGTGTGGCTGATCTCTGAGCTGCTGTGGTCTGTCAGTCCGTTTACAGTCCAGAAGCGAACCAGCAGGGACATACAGAGAACTGAAAGTGCCGTCTGGTCCCTCAGTCCCGGCATGGTGCCTTATTCACTGCTGCAAACAGAAGAGGTGCTCCACAGACAGTATTTCTGAGGAGAGAAGTGAGAGGGAGTGCTGGAGAGGGAGAGAGAATGTGTGAGAGCGAGACAGAGGAGTGTGAGGAGAAGGGGAGGGTGGAAGAAACGCATGAGGAGCTACGCAGGAGTGTAAAAACAGACTTGAAGAGAGGGGGTGGGAGAAAGAAAGAAAGATACAGAATAGAACAGTTTTATTGTAAAGTTTACTGATGCTTTAACCCTTTTTGTTCTGCAAAGAGCCAACTCAAAAACCATATATGGAGAAAAATGGTTGTTGATATGTAGAGGGCTTTTTGTTGAGTCAAGGTACTGTAAAGAACCATTTAAGAGTTTTACTAGGGGATGAGAACTTTATGCAGTAGCTGTATAAACAGAGAATCACTCAATGAAGAAGACTTGAGAGATCCAACAGGTGTGGCAAGAAACCAACTGCCATATATAGACATATGCTAAAGGCAGAGTCTGGAATTACACAGAATTATGTCATGTAATATTTATATACAGTGTTGGGGTTTCAATGTTCAACGTCTCCACAATATATTATGCAAAATGTGGATAATTTATGCAGTAGTCTAATTTTTAAACTAAATAATTTACACTAACTTACATGCTTTAGAAACAAAAAAGTGACTGAAAATAAAGTCCAGTGGACAAGAATGAAAAGGAAGTTAAGAGTTTAAATGATATTGAATCCCCTACCAAGAGTATTATAACAAAGTATTATAACAATACTTCATGCATAATACATAGCAAACCATGTATTTGCAAGAAAATTTGTCATTGAAGTAATTGTAGAAAGATTCTTTTATCACTGTCTATCACACATAGATTGATTCCTGTTAGAAAATTCCTTTCACCTCCTCGAATGGAACTGCTGTTGGCCTTTAGTGTCGCAGACTAATGTAATATCCCCATGGTGGCAAGGAAATCTGAGCAATATGGAAAAGACACCTCATATCATTCACCAAAGCACACACGCACAGTCTTCCTGGACTTGATCTCCTGACCCAAAAAGTAAATCTTCACCATGTCCCTTGTTTTAAAAGTCCAACAAAACATCAGTTTGTTTTCTAACTTAAAGAGAGGATTGCTCAGATAGATAGACACACAAAATGACAGCATTATTTAAAGGGACCGTTCACAGTGGAGTACAAAAGATGTTTAGCAGAATGTCCTGGCATCTTTTTCCAATATAGCAAAATATACCAGGTGAATGGGGACAGGGCTAGTAAATTCAAATCAAATCGAAACAAAACAAAAATAAAAAATCACCATAAAAGCAACACCAGACAGATAGACAGACAGATACTACAGATAGACAGAAACTGTAGACAGACAGACACTGTAGACAGATAGACAGATAAATACTACAGATAGACAGATACTGTAGACAGACAGACAGATACTATAGATAGATACTGTAGACAGATAGACAGATACTGTAGACAGACAGATAAGACAGATACTACAGATAGATAGATACTGTAGTGTAGACAGACAGACAGATACTATAGACAGATACTGTAGACAGACAGATAGACAGATAATGTAGACAGACGGATTGACAGCGACACAGAAAGATACTATCGATAGACAGATACTGTAGACAGACAGACAGATAGATACTACAGATAGATACTGTAGACCAACGGATAGACAGACACAGAAACATACTATCGATAGAGAGACAGATACTATAGACAGACAGATACTACAGATAGATACTGTAGACAGACAAACAGATACTGTAGACAGACAGATAGACAGAGATACAGAAAGATACTATCGATAGAGAGGCAGATACTGTAGACAGACGGATAGACAAAGACACAGAAAGATACTATCGATAGAGACAGATACTGTAGACAGACAAACAGATACTGTAGACAGACGGATAGACAAAGACACAGAAAGATACTATCGATAGAGACAGATACTATAGACAGATACTGTAGACAGACAGACAGACAGACAGACAGATAGATACTGTAGACCGACGGATAGACAGAGACACAGAAAGATACTATCCATAGATAGACAGATACTGTAGACAGACAGACAGACACTACAGATAGATACTGTAGACAGACAGACAGATACTACAGACAGACAGATACTGTAGACAGACGGATAGACAGAGACACAGAAAGATACTATCCATAGAGAGAAAGATACTATAGATAGACAGACAAACAGACTTCAGACATAGACAAACTATATTATACAAAAACAGATACTGTAGACAGACAGACAGACACATAGATCAACCAACAGACAGACAGCATGCACCTCTCTTGTATTTTGTAAGCAATTCAGATCATGTCTCTGCTCACAGGAGAGCTGTATATTTGTGCTTATGTGTACACATATGCCTTTGAATTAGATGAAAACATACATGAAGCACATCTCTGCTCAGATGCTGAATTGCCTGACCACAGTATGACCTGGGACGCACCACATCTGCAGACCCTAGCGAAGATCGTTAAGAAGGGAGAGCAGAGGGAGGGGAGAGAGAGAGATGGCAAAAGGGCTTAAAGGGGGGTGTAAGGATAATCTGGTATAAAAGTACTGAGAGCAGGAAAATTGTCCATAAAGGAGGGAGGGGGAGGGAATGAACCAGAACATACAGCTGAGAGAGCAGAGTGAGATGCAGAGAAAGAAAGAAAAAGAAAAGTTATGAAAGAGTGAGACGGAGGAGGGGGATATCAGCCAGAAGGCTCCCAAGATTCAGATGGGGAGCAGGTTGAGAAAATGCCTCATCACGCACAATCTACAGTATTCAACTAGCACAAAGCTTTTGTTAAATATGCACGACACACTATAAAAATCTAGATATTTTACACTTCCTGAAAGAGAAAAAATGTAAATCTGTGACACGTGGAAGGAAAGTGATCGAGGTAGTACAGTGTGTAAAGAAAATACAACTAACCATGAGTATGAACAAAGCTTTCATCATCTTAATCACAGAAACGCCAGCGTGCTTTTCTGACTCACAGCACTAAAATGCTGACAGAGGTTTGGCTCAAACCACAGAGTCTGTGATGAAGGGGAAACAGGGTCTGCCCCAGCTTGCAACAATGTTTAAAACAGTGAAGAAGGGGTGAGGGGAACTGTGGCCAATATGCTGATATGTGAAAGATGTATAGCCATCTCTTTTAAAAGAGTGGGCACTGACCTGATTTTTTTTCCCCAGTTCGGCAATGCAGGAGATATCTGAGAACAGTCTGATTACACAGATGGGCTTTTGCAAGAAAAATATATCTCTCCCTTTCTCTTGCTTTCGAGCATCATTACCCTGAAATTCAATATTGAGTTGAACAACTTAATAATAGAACTATAGAAAATGACAGAAATATTTAAAAGGACAGTTCATCCCAAAATTTAAATTGTCATTTACTCACCCTCGAGCTTGTACAACTCTGTTTCTTCAGTGGAGCACAAAAGGAGATGCTTAGCATAATGTCCTGGAAGCTCTTTTCCATATAGCAAAAGAAAATGGGGACACAGGGCTACTAAGTTCACAAAAAGAAAAAATTATAATAATAATAAAATAAATAAAAAACCCACAAACATATCAAAACTCATGTGATGTATATTTTTTATAAATGAAACAAAGTGAAGAGATTTGCAAACTATTTTTACAGCTTTAATGTAAAATAAAATTACATTATTAATATTATATATATCATTTTTCTAAAATACTTGTTTAATGATTTTATTTTTTACATTTATAAAATTTATTTATAAGCTATATTGATACATAATCACAAAATTTTGGCCAAATTATGCAGCCCTACATAGTAAAAATAATCTTTAAAAGATGTAAATAAAACAATTTATTGACACGTTTTATAAAAAAATGGTTTCACTTTATTTTGATGATCCCTTTAACGCATCCTGTTGACTATAAGTAACATTGCACCTACATACCTACTAACTCTCATTAGAATGTTAGTAGAGTATTAGTAGACTGGTGGGGTTAGGGTTAGAATAAGTTGACATGTACTTGCAACGTTACTGATTCGTCATCAGAATTTTCAAAAGGAACCATCAAAATAAAGTGTTACCGAAAACACTATTTCAGTTGTTCTACTTTAAATTTCAATTTTAATTCAATGTGTTAATTGAAACTACTAGCAATTTCTATACCATTTTTTCCCCAGTGTAAAACCAGCACAGCAAACCTGGATTTAAAAAAAAAAATTATTAATACAATCGCAATTTCTATAAGAAAAATTGCAATTAGATGTTAAAACTGTGCAGCCCTAATGTGAACCGATGTCAAATCTGGCATCATGCATTGTGAAATGCCTTTTTTGAACGTACACCACCCCCAATCGTGTTTGTTGTATGAAAAAGAGCAGCCAGGACATTCTGCAAAATAACTCCTGATTAATTCAGTCCCATTCTATTCGGCAAACAGTAGAATATGTTATTCTGTTAATATTTGTGAAATGTATGGACAGTTTAAGTACTACATGAAGTTGTGTCTTTCTTCCTGATATGATTTGATAAAGACACTCTACAAATGTTTTTGGATTCCTCTAAAGTCTCCTCTATTAATTGAGAACAGCACTGAGGCTCATGTCATTGTTTACATGTCGATGTGGTACAGACTTCCAATAAACTGCTGAATTTCTCCTTTTGTAATTTTCCCTTTGGTTGCCTGTTAAAATGGTGGATTATTCTTTTAAAACTTGTTATGCTGTAAACCTTTTATTACAGAAGTGAAAGCGATCCTTCGAAGCACTAGAATGAATACAAATATAACTCTGCTGTTTTCTGTTCTAAGCATGTGTCTACAAGCACATACTCCTTGGCCATCACTTGTGTCCTTCATCCAGACAGCATGTCATCTGGCATAAGCATTTCCAGCAGAGAGCGTCTCCTTCAGCCAAGCCAGATTCAAATCAGTAAAGAGACCTACAAGCCAAAACAGCAAGAAATTGCAATGCTTTCAGTACTGTTGAGGATAAATTTAAAACAACTATTTATTGAATCTTGCCATGAGTTTGTTTTTGTCCTTACCTCTTAGGATGTTATCCTGCCTTTTTCTTTGGCACTCAACAAAGCAGGCCAGATGTCTGTCCTCCTTGATTCAGCAATTCCTGGAAGAATCACTGGCCCGTTTCTACATTGAGCCCTGAGAGAGCAGTCTGGATCTGTTACCCTGACTCAAGGACAGATGGACAGCGTCAGAGCCACTGTAAGGATGCCAAAACAGCAGGTTTACATTTGATGTTCTGATCTTTCAGCCAGGGAAGTTCAGGCCAAGCTCCTCAGAGAAGCTGTGTATAGTTGATATGCAGGAAAAAACACCAGATTTCATCAAAAGATTGCCAAAACAGTCCTAATGAATTCAAATTAATTTCTGGATGAAGGAGAAAAGCACTTCAAAAACGTGTATTTTAAAAGTCTATTCAATTCGTTCCAAAGCATTAAAGGCATTTAAAAGGTTCATTTGTTAACATTAATGAATTATATATAATGAACAATCTACATTAAAGGTCATTTTTAAAAATATACTATAATTCAATGTTAATTCATGTTCATGTATAATGCATTATGAGATTAGTTCACCGAAAAATGAAAATTAGCTGAAAATTTACTCACAACATGTGCTCTCATCACTTATTCACCAGTGCATCCTCTGCAGTGAATGGGTGCCGTCAGAATGAGAGTCCAAACAGTTGATAAAAACATCACAATAATCCACAAGTAATCCACACCACTCCAGTCCATTACTCTCCTGTGACATGAAAAGCTGCGTGTTTGTAAGAAACAAATCCATCATAAAGCTGTTTTAAATTTCAAACTGTTGCGGAGTCCTCTATCCATAATATTGCTTTCTCCAATGGAAAAAGTCAGAATCAGGAGAGAAATATGCACAGATTAAGCACCGTTTACAAGCGAAAACAGACCGAAATAGTTCTAAACAAATATGTCAGTGGATATTGATGTGAGAGGACAACATGGGATGGACTTTCTCACTCTTTTCTTTGATGAACTGGAGTCATGTGAATTATTGTGATGATTTTATCAGCTGTTTGGACTCTCATTCTGACGGCACCCATTCACTGCAGAGGATCCACTGGTGAGCAAGTTATGTGATGCTACATTTCTCCAAATAGGTTCTGATGAAGAAACAAGCTCACTTACATTGTAGATGGTCTGAGGGTGAGTAAATTTTCAGCAGCTTTTTATTTTTAGGTGAACTATGCCTTTAAACGGTAACTGTACAACTGGCAATGTTAAAACTCTATTTTATATATATTAAACTCTATATTATATATCTATTATATGTAGAGATTACTCCAAGCTGTGTTCACTGTTAAATAAAGTCATGAAAAAAAAAACATTCCTTATACACCGGTCAAGATTCATTTTAAGTGTGGTTTTCAGGGAAGAATCTTGAATTCTGTGGAATGGACAATTTATCAGATCAGAGAATATGGAAGGTGAATGAATCACTCCATTAATTTAAACTAATAAAATCCACTGGTGAGCAAGTTATGTGATGCTACATTTCTCCAAATAGGTTCTGATGAAGAAACAAGCTCACTTACATTGTAGATGGTCTGAGGGTGAGTAAATTTTCAGCAGCTTTTTATTTTTAGGTGAACTATGCCTTTAAACGGTAACTGTACAACTGGCAATGTTAAAACTCTATTTTATATATATTAAACTCTATATTATATATCTATTATATGTAGAGATTACTCCAAGCTGTGTTCACTGTTAAATAAAGTCATGAAAAAAAAAAACATTCCTTATACACCGGTCAAGATTCATTTTAAGTGTGGTTTTCAGGGAAGAATCTGTTGAATTCTGTGGAATGGACAATTTATCAGATCAGAGAATATGGAAGGTGAATGAATCACTCCATTAATTTAAACTAATAAACAAGTAGATGCGTAGAACCTTCAGAATAATGGTGTTTCCATCAAATCTGTGGAGCTCTCTGTGGAGGAGTTCTACAGCACAGATGTTATGTGGGTCTTTCTGGGTAGATGGCGTGCTCTATAGAATGTTCATTCACACTCTATATAACAGACATTTGAGAAATGGTCAGCACTTTATAAAGCAATGCAGAGAAAAGTCATTCCTGATGGAAATCATAGTTGTTATTAATTAACAGATAAGAAAACGCATTGAGTGCAAGACAGCACATGCTAGTCAGATTGCATCAGCCATTACAGTAGACTGACCCCTGATGGCCAATCCACACTTAAAATTCTAGAACGATCACTATGATGACCTGTTTAAACTAATTGGTTTAAAAAAAAAAAAAAAGCACATGCAAAGAATTACAATTTATGACTTAAATATTTTTTTAAGTTGCATTTATTTATTACTCTTCATACGATACATCACTGTACCACCGCATATATTCTGAAATATATTTTCATTATAAAATAGGGATTCTACAATCAAGTTTCAGATATAATAAAATGCTCTGAAGGATCATAACAGACAATGACGATGCATCTTTAAATGAAGTGCAGGATATTTGTAATTTGATTCAGGGCAACTCAACGAATCAAATTTGACATGTGGGGTTTGCATTTTCTCCAGAAATAAATTTCAGCTCTGTGGGCCAGACAGATGGAATGCTTTCTTGTAAAACACACTGGGAAAATCAAAACAGAGAGATCTTTTAGGGGGGTGTGGCTGACTCTTAACTTTTATAAAGAATATCTCTTTGGATTTGAGTCTTTAGTCTTTGCAACTTTACAGATCTTCTTTATGCACCAAGAGCTTGTAACACTCCAAAGAGAAAGGAAAAAATGAAATTGCATCATATGACCCCTTTAAAGACGGCGAGATCTCCCGTTAAAAGACCTCGACCTCCAAACCAGCTTCAAACCCACAAATGCTCCTTTTGGTCCAAACAAATATTGTTACATTGTGCCATAGTAGAGTGAATCGTTTTTGACATATTGTAACTGCAAAAAAAACATTCACGAAAGCACAGCAAATACCAAAGGCCACAAATTCGTCTGATTTGCTTCGACGTCAAACCATTAAGATTGTTAAAAACATCCTCCAGCGAAGGTTCGGTTGCATTTCAGCGTGTAAGACTACGGTTTTCACAAACATGGGCTATAGAAATATATACTGTAGAAGTCAATATTTTGCAGTGCTGCATTAGTGTACATACATATACATAGAGTACATTCCCAAGCTAGGTAGATTACTGCAAGAGACACCACACCATTTTGTGCTACGACATGGGATCATGGCTGTCCTCAATAAAACGTCTGCCCAGAAGAGATTTGTCTAAAGCCTGAGGTATGCATAATATGCCCCGGTAACAATCATACTGTTACAATCATATATTTTTGTTATATATATATATATTTATATATATACACACACTTTAATAGTCATCACATATACAGACCACCCTCTCCTTTAAAAACAAAACAAAACAGCAAAACAACCACTAAGCAACTAATTGTGCACAAATATACACAAAAAAGGTGCCAAACCAGGCTTATATCATGGTCAGGGTTATGGATGATTGCTCGATTTGTATGATTGTTCATAAGCAACTAGTAAACAAGACAGAAACACACTTTTAAGAAGTAACTGCACACAACAGCTCGAAGTATCCTAAAAAAGAAGGAAATACACGTGTGCTTTCCACCGTTTCTCAGGCAGTCTTCTCTCAACAGTTTGACACTGAAATCAGCCGACATATTATTATGCAACATCATAATTCACTCTTTCTTAGCGTTAACGTTGCTTTCAGCAGTTGGGTATGAAACACATTAATGCTTGCCGTGGAGTTAACAACAGCACTGAACTGCATTGAATTCACTCAGATATATAGACGGATAATGAAAGTGTTGAACCTGCTTATCTAAACTAAATACAAACCAGCCAAACTAGTAAATAACCCAAGAAAGGGTGATTTACCTTTGTATATAAACATTCTTTTTCCATCATGCTTTGCTCTTATTCAAGTTTATAAAATACTACTCTGCTTTATATAAAATTAAACTGGCTAAAGTGACAGGACTTCTAATATACATCCACTGAGTATTTATATTCATGTGTCGTTTAGGAAAAATAAAAACTACAAAAGAATAAAATAAGAGCGTAAAATGAAACCTGAAACATACAGAACGCACTGTACTCGTATTGTACAACAACACTTTGGACTAGGTAACTTAGACAAACATATGCAACCATACGGAGTTAGATTAACAAGCTTTTTCAACTAGGAATTAAAACAACGATTCCTGGATGCTACATCTCTAGCGCTACCTGACATGCTAACAAGACGAGAGTGCAGAATAGGGTTGCAAAGGGAGGGAAAAGACTTTTCCCATCAAGTTTTTTTCCAAATGTACAGTACGTCACCGTCAATTTACATGACTGTTGCAACCCTCACATCTTTATTGGACCTGGACTAGGGAGAACAAGACGCAAATGACAAAAATACATCAAATTCTCAACTATTTTCTGCACTAACCTAATGTGGCTCGACAGCAAACAAAGTATTCTACGCTTTTTTTGTGTGTAAATCAACAAGTCTCACGGTGTACTTGACTACACTATTGACAGGTCTCACACTTCTGTTTGAATGCTGTATGTTAGATGCAAGAAGTTCACTAGAGTGACTTTTTGCTATTTAAGTTTTCAACGTGTCTCATGCAACTCTGAAGGAAATAATTGTTAGGTTATGTATAACATACAGCTTAAATGACCTGCAGCTTCCTGGCTAATGTTTTATTTAAGCCATGTCTTATAGACACAATTATCCCTAATATGTTTACGCACTTTCATTGCTAGAAGTGCTTCTGGGAGCTGTAACAATCTAATCACTATCCAGCAGTTTAAAATACACCATCTATTCTCTCAGGACAAGCTAGTAGACATCTTGAGAATGTGATGTCTTAACAAGTAACCAATAAAAAAATTTTTGTACTATTTCTGGCATAACAGGATTCAAAACATAAATTGGGGGCTCGTCCGGGATACCAGGGACCGGTTGCATAAAAGACTTAGACTAGTCTTACAAGTTGTCATAAATTTTTTCTTTAAGACTGGTCATATTTAATTCTGTTACATAAAAACGTAGATTTGTCTATGTTGAATCCAAAAAATAAGACTGATTACCGCTTGGCTAACTGCTAGTTGGTCAGACTAGTTCTTAAGACACTGTCTTAACATAGAGGCTAAGTTTATGCAACTGGCCCCCAGAAATGATCCAGCAAAATTTTAACGACATGGGATCATCCTCACTCTCGTCCACAACATGTCAACATGTTCATAGTCATGTTATGACTACTTAAAACTGGAATCTACCTGCTATCATTAGAGGAAACATGTAGGATTTGCTTCATGCAGACAAGCATAACTACACCTCCAAATATAACATTTAACTTTGATTACTGCCCTAATTTCAGCTCAAAGCTCAAACAGTTAAATAAATTTAGCTTATAATTCAATTAATAGCAAAGAGTCCGCAAGTGTCAACGTTAGACTTGTAACTGAACTGCAAAATAGATACTCAAACATCCATACATTTCGGTCTACTGGTCACTAAAATGCACTTTCCCATCAAAAAGATGCCCTGACTTTACAATTTCAGGCTCTTGTGGAAGAGTTCCTGCCAACAGAAACATGTCAGACAGTCTCTGAATCATATTGCGACATTTATCTCTCTAAAGGGACCAAAAAATAAAAAATAAAAATTGGCCTATTGAGGCTATTTCCATCCAATGTTTTGATATACCTCATTCCATAAAGAGCCAACATCAATTTAAACACTGCCAACTTTCTTGAACATTGACTCAGTCACAGTGAACATGTTCGAATGACCATGAGTTTCACAAGGCTTTCACTAGACTACAGTCTCCATCAAATACATGCCTAAACAGTCAGGCCATCACACACAGAAAGTCACTCTCACTCAATACCACATTAGTGGGTAAGGTGCTGGCTGGCTTCTACAGCCATCTCCTCTGCAACTGCACACCCTTGAGGCCTGTAAACAGCGTCTCTTTCTTCCTGACAATTTCAAAACAACCTGCTGCCACTGAGGCAGTTAATTCTGAGATTCTCCTTTTCAACTAAATTTAGTCTTTTTCATAGAAGAGCCAATAGTACTCTAACAGAAAAAAAGACAGCAAATAGATTTATATTTTTAGCAACTACAGTTACAACATAGACTTGTCTCTGAGTGTACTTAAGCATGAAAGGACAGAAAGGAAACAAAGAAACAGAGAGAACAACAAACTTAGAGCACAAGAGATAGTTGAGACTGTACAAATCGAATCCCTCTCGGTCTCTCAGATGAGTCTTGCCTCGCCCTCCATCTCAGGTGGCAGCTCACACACTCCAGTGAAGTTCATCTCTTTGTCCTCCTTCCCGCCCTGACTCCCTGCTCGAGACGCAGTGTCACCAGGTGAAGGGTTGCTATGTGATAGTGTGTCAGGTGATGTTCGGTGTCCTGTCCCAGCACGCCTCTCCTTCAGGTAACCCTCGAGACGTTTGAGAATCTGCTTGGGGTTCTTCTTAGCGAAGAGCTCAACTTCTGTGCATCACAGAGCAGAAAGAGACAAGAACAGGCTTTTTAATTTTTCACTATATAAACTCTAAAGTTAAACACAAAGCTCTTAATCCAGTTCATCTACACCAGGGGTGCCCAATCCTGTTCCTGGAGATCTACCTACCAGCTGACTTCAGTTCCAGTCCTGCTCCAACCCAACTGTCTGCATTTATCAAGAGCTACTGAAGAGATTAATTAGCTGGTCCAAATGTGTTTGATCAGGGCTGGAGCTGAACATTGCAGGATGGTTGATCTCTTAATGAAAAGGATTGGGCACCCCTGACCTATACAATTTATGGTAACCTAGCAGAAAAAAAAAAAAATATATATATATATATTTTTTTTTTTTAAACTGGCAAGGTGACATCACAATCATGAGCATATTAGCACATGATCACCCACCTTTGCATTTCACCTAAGGGTGCAACAATTCATTTGCTTTCTTGATGCATTGATTACAAAATTTGCCAATTCACCTGCACTGAACTTGAAACATGGATTTTTGAATTGTGAAGTGTTTGTTGCAGTCAATAATCATTTTAAAATGCTAAAAATTTAATTAATTGCAATTCAGTAAAGTACCTTTCAATATCTTAAAATATATAAACATTAAATTAGTAACATGCATGAATTAATGGAGACATAGTGAGTCATTACTTTAATTCATACAGTGAAGACTAAAGAGTTTAATTTTACATTTGATTATTTAATTTCTGTAGTATTTTTTTTACTTAAATACTACTGTTAGATTGACCTACCTGAAAAACATTTGAATTTGCTTCATTCTATTTGTTTTAATTTGTTTTCTTGTTATTTTATTACTAACTGTTTGTTTACTTACATTAAGTTAGTATTAGCTTTTGCTGTGGTATCGAAATTGTTAGCAAGAATTGTGAAATTTCACTGGCATCTAAAGTTACAACCTTACCATAACAACCTTATTTCCAGCAAAAATTGTTCCAACAAAAATCTAAAAGTATCTAAAATATTCCTGAATCAAAAACCTCTGATTCATGAATTGAATCAATTTGCTGTCTAACCAAAGATTCACATTCCTAATCTCAACATCTATTCAGTATATAGCAACTATTACACTAATAAATGACAGTGTGAAAGCTACCAGAATAGAGGGCATTTACATGTAAAACTCTTAAAGGTACAGTTGCAAAAACAGCTTGTTTCATTTTAAGGGTCATTGTGAGTGGAAAGTGCTTTTTGCTGCAAACCTTTACTAGCATTAAATGGACTTTAAGGGTAAAAATAAAAGTAAATTATGGCACCTTCAAATGATTTTGACCAAATGACAGTGTCAATTCAAATCAATGCTGAAAGTCACTAAACAATACCATGCACAAATACAACACTGTTAATTTGTAACGGAAATGTCACCTTTGAGTACATAGCCAGAGTCAGAGATGGTTTTCTGCTGGCTCTTCCACAGCTGATAGAGGTACAGGAACGTTGCAACATAAAAATCATTCAGCACTGCCACGACCTGTTGCCTTCGGTTACACTCCCTATGTGACATTACACAGCAACAAAATGTTTTATTGCCATGGAAACAACTGCAGAGATTATGAAAGGTTACAGCGGATACCTCAGACTGAGGGCAAACACAGCCAAATCATTTCAAAGCTTGACAGTATGTAATTAATACTGTACAAAATAAACACCAGTTAATGTTCAAAAACTTCAGCTTCCTGCAGTGTGAAATGACTTACTTGGACAGCACTTCCTCCCTGAGAGCATGCAGGGCAATTCGCGTCATGTTGATTGACATCACACAGAAGGGAAAATTCTGCATGTGTTAAAAATGAAAACGAGTGTTTTTATTGTCTTTGATAAGGTTGTAGCAAGTATATATTTGACTGTGTTTTGCATCACCTGGACTGGATGCTGAGAGAGTTTGTAGATTTCTCTAGCAAGTGGTAGAATCTCTGGGTCCATGACGAAGTAGAGCGTGTGCATCAGGCCCAGAAAACCAGTTCCCCTCAGATCTGTATCAGGGTCTGCACCTGGAAGTATAACAAATATTACAAAGGGGTGACTTGTATTTCATGACATCATGAAAATAATCAATTAATTACTGATTTTTTTGTTTTGATTAGACATTTTACGCATAGGTGCTTATTTGAGGTACCTTGAAAGCCCACGTTCTCCCAGTGTGGTCCATAGCGAGGGCAGTCAGCTCGAGTGCAGGTCAATTTCCTGTAAATGGTCTGGAGTACACGCATGTGGACTGACTGGCCATTATCCAGAGAACCTACAGAATCACAAAACAAAGACATCACACCCAAGACATTTAGGCAGTTACTCTGGTAGCCATCTGAACAACTTAAAGGGGTCATGAAATTGAAAATCAAAATGTCCTTTATATTTACACATGTAAGAGGGTTACTCTACAATACAAAATACGGCAAATACTAATTATTATCAGTTCTTGGACCCCTCCTCTTCTCTATATACACTACAGCACTGGGACCCATCATACAGGTACATGGTTTCTCCTACCTATGCTGATGAGACACAGTTCTATTTTTCATTTCAACCATCTTGGAGTAATGTTTGATGACCAGAAGTGACCACAATGCAAGGTCAGCATGATCATGCAGGTTTGCATCGCACAAGATCAGAGAGATCAGGCCCTTCCTAACAGAGCATGCTGCACAACTTCTTGTCCAGACCCTTGTCATTTCTAGGTTGGACTACTGCAATGCTCTTCTGGCTGGCCTTCCATCATGTGCAATCAAACCTCTACAAATGATTCAGAACGCAGCAGCACACCTGGTCTACAACGAGCCCAAAAGGACCCATGTCACACCTCTGTTTATCTCTCTGCCCGCACTGTTCAAGACATTGATGTTTGCATACAGAACAGCCACAGGCTCCACATCCTTAATTTTACAAGTCTACATCCCCTCCAGAAGCCTGAGGTTGGTAAGTGAGCGATGCCTCGTGGTACCACCACAGAAAGGTATCACTTTCCAGAAAATGTTCACTGTTCCTTGCTGGTGCAATGATCACCAGAATGCCAAATCCCTGACAATATTTAAGAAACAACTGAAAATTAATCTCTTCCATCAGCACTTAACTGCATCCTGCTGAAAAAAAAAAAATCTTCTTCTATGCTTTCACTTCTCCTTAGTTCCTCCTTGTTCTAACTTGTACATTTCTGAACAATGTCAAAAACGTTGTATTACTAGCACTTCTTGTGTTTATTGGCTCTTTTTTGATGAATCGCACGCCCCTTGACATGGGTGTGTAAATAGAAGAAATGTGCTCATTGTAAATGTCAAAAGGTAACCTCCAGGAATACAATATAAAGATCTAAAAACACATTTCATGCCCCTTTAACTGATTCATCAACACTGAAAAGCTATCCATTAGAAGTCTTACTAAAGAGATGAATGGAGTCATTGAAACAAAGCATGTAGCTACTTGACTTGTCAAGTCATATGTTTTACTCACACTGTGCGATGGCAAACACTAAGTCTCTCTCCTCTACAAGGTCTTTGTGTAGCCGTGGAGGACCGAACAGGAAATGGGTGATGGCGGCCAGTCCAGTCCTGCGAATGGTGGGCTGAATGTTCTTCTAATAGTGAAGAGAAAGTATAAAGAAAAAAGAAAGAGAGTCAACCATATTCTTCTGCTTTGTGAATGTAGTCATAGTGTAGTTACTTTTAATAAACTCACAAGCAAGTCTCCAAGATCAGTGGTCTGAAAATGCTGCAGAGCCTCATTGAAAGAGATCAGCGGTGATGGAGTGAGATCCTCAGCAAAAACTACAAGAAAAACACACGTTTACTGACAAATGACTAAACAATGCTTGGTTCAGTCTGGAAAATCAGAATACAGAGATGTATATTTCAAAATTAAGCTTTTTTTTTTTGTGTGTGCACTGAAGGCTTGTGAAACTTAACGTAATTTCTGACTGGTTGTGTGGAACTGATCCTCAGCTAAGCCCCATTGTCACATTTGCATGTTTCTTACCTGCCAGCACTTATACTGCCTCTGTCAAACACGGAGCAAGACGAGTTCACACTGAGTAAATTACCTTAAAGCGTTAGTTCACCCAAAAATGAAAATTAGCCCATAAATTACTCACCCTCAAGGCATCCTAGGTGTATATGACTTTCTTCTTTCAGACGAATCCAGTTTGTAAGAAAAATATCCATATTCAAAACGTAATCACTTTAATGTAGCTTGCGCCTCACTGTTGTACATGGAAGCAGCTCCGGGCGGATGACGTATGAGGTCAGCTTTGTGCATGCGCCGCTCAGAAGTGACACACGCGGAAGCGCACGGGAGAGATCAAAACAAAACAACGGTACTAATTAGAAGTACAAAACGAGGATTTGTAAAGAAGAATGTCGGAGGATTTCGATATAAGCCAAGAGGAGACTGGTTTTCCTTTGCTAAAGTAAGGAAACTTTGCTTCCTTTGATCCGGTTAACAAACATTGGTTTTCACGAGACTCACCGGCGCATGCACAACGCCGACCTCATACGTCATCCTCCCGGAGCTGCTTCCGTGTACAACTGTTGGCGCAAGCTAGATGAAAGTGACTCTTACTTTTTGAATATGGATATTTTTCTTACAAAAACGCATCGATTTCCTAAAGGAGGCCTTTGTTCACCCCCCGGAGCCGTGTGAGACACTTTTTTATTATGGATGGGCGATTTTTATTTCACTTCTTTAGGACTGATGGACTGCAACACCCGCTGACTGCCATTAAACAGCTTAAAAGATAAAAATCCGTTTTTAATATAACTCCGACTGGATTCGTCTGAAAGAAGAAAGTCATATACACCTAGGATTAACCATGTGTTTGCACTGAGTAATTATATGTAGATGTCAAAAAGGTTTTGAACAACAAAAAATTTTAAAATATTGAACAGATAGACAAAACAGTATTTTTGTATTTAAAAAATACAAAATAAGTACAGTATTTATTTATTTATGAAGCGGTTTCATATTTTTTTTTAAATTACAAATTTATAAAATTTTTGATAGTTCTGCCATTACTGTTGATATTGTCATAAGAATATTACTTTTGTGAATACTTCTTAATCATGTTTAATCCCTAAGAATATTGTGACATAAATTACTGTAAAAGTTTTTGTAAAAGACTATATCCGGATCGGATTCAGATCAATGATCAAAACAGAGATGGAGTAGATCGCTTCCATCAACACCCCCAAAGCTTGCACAGTCCTATAGCGCTTCATGGATTGACATTTCATTCTGTAACGTTAGGCAGTTTTGATTTAAATGCTGTTTAATGTTTGATGTAGGGCTGGGCGATTTGGCAATAAAAATAAAATCTCGATTTATTTCAGAACGTTTGACCGATTCTCGATTTTTTACGATTTTTAACTAGTCAACTTAAAAATGAACAACATGATTCAAATAACTTTTTCTTTATTAACCCTCTAGTTGAAGAAAATTCTTTTCCAAGTGCACCACACATGAAGTTGTCAACATGATGTAAATGTTAAACAGATCACTTGTTAAATACCTTTGCAGAAAAGATGCATGAACTACAACTACATCCTGTACAAACTTGTCTTATACATGTTATATGTTCAGAAATAATAGGCTACAATGAAAATGCTTCAAAAAATTCTCAACAGTCAATGTAATTCAAATTCAAAATGACTGACTTTATACATAGAATCCAAAAATTGTACATTTGTAAACTGCACACTTGTAAATATATCTGTACATTCATTTAAACAGTTACATTTCTACTTCTGTATATAGTGCATTATTTAATTTTCTGTTTTTCTTAGTGTTATACTCCATTGTAATTCCTATGTCTGCTGCACTAGTTTGAACTATGTCCATACTTTATTCTGCACTGGAAGCTCCTGTCACTAAGTCAAATTCCTTGTGTGTGTAAATATACTTGATAATAAAGCTCTTTCTGACTACTGACGGTATAACACCAGTAGACTATTAATAATAAATGTTCTGCGAAAACAATGAACAGCAGCTTTCAGCCTGTCACCATGATGCAAACATGAAATATCAGACATACAGTAGTAGTTCTTTACAGGTTTTTTTATTCGATTGCGCTGCTTTTCTATTGTTTTTGCTATGTAAATGGACACGTTTGACTGTTGCGCTTGCGTCTCTTGCAGCGTCTCATACATTAAAAGGGCATTTTAAAAACGTGGCGCTCAAGTTAAAGGGGTCATATGACGTTGCTAAAAAAGAACATTATTTTGTGTATTTGGTGTAATGAAATGTGTTTATGCGGTTTAAGGTTAAAAAAACACATTATTTTCCACATAATGATGTGACAAACATAGGCCTATGTAGTGGAGGCAGGGTATTTAACAATTTAACAATAAACTTTATTATTCAAAATGAGTCTGACATCCGTGCACTTAACAGTAAACTTCACTTCACTTATTATAAATAACTTAACACAAATAGAACAAAATATATAAAACTTGAATTAAGAAATTAAACAAGGTAACTGTGTAGGGCAAGCAAGCTACTGCCAAACCAACAGGGGCAGGTTTATGCAGGAAGCACAGCTTTTCCAAATGTAAACATCTAAAATGAATAAATAATATTAATGAATAATATTTTTTTCACAAATTCTGTTGTGTTGTGTATTTTCTGGTAATCAAATGAACATGCAGAACATTCATATTTAAATAAGTCTTTTTGCAGTTTAATATTCACAGACACAGTCTATATATATGTACTGACCTGTTTTTTATTTATAAAGCGACTGTTGAAAATCATTTGAACTTTGTGTCAGCACGTCATAGAACGAGGCATCAGTTTACTGCATCCAGTGTCGACAACATCACTGATTATAATGGGTTCTATTCTACACCGGATGCGAGCGGCGCGGCGTGACAAAATACAATAGAAATTCTATTATATTTTGTCGCGCCGTGTGATGTGATGTGACCGATGTGATAAACATGAGTTCTGGGCCGCGGCGCGGCCGGTATAAATACCAGCATTGACTGAGTGGCCGCGATCAGCTCCGGTGGCAGTAACACAGGCTTTAATGCAAGCATTTAATCTGCGTTATATGTTCTGTAAAAAAAATTTCATATCGGCGGCATATTCACTGATACCGATATATCTGCAACAGGATAATATCAGCAAAATTATATATCGGTCGGGCTCTAATGCTAACCTCAAAATCTATTAGAATCAATTGAGCTGAGTTTCCCGTGATTACCGCTATTTGTAAGGCGGTAAGTTGTTGCCTAGAACATTTCAAATTGGTCACTTGTTAAATCTCTGTAAGAATGCCTATGTAGGCATGTCTGAATAATTTTTGGTCCCACATTTTTATCAATTTTACTGGTAGTCCACTGTATGACGAATTTTTGGGTATAATATGTCACAGTTTACTTATTTTGCTATCCTCACTTACATAAATAATCTATAGTGTCCTGCACCTACTAGTAAAAAATATATAAAAAATTATATCTGGTGTCTGAATAATTTTTGGTTTGACTGTATAAGTCTGAATGTTCCTGCCAAAATGTAATGTAAAGTAGTTTTAGTTTTCCTTCCTTTAAATTATTGTTTAATTTAGAGATGCACAGATAATAAATTTTTTTAGCCAATTATTCAGAATGACATAATGTATCTATTTTAGCCAAGGAGGTGATGCCATCTCTCCAGGGTAGGGGCGTATGCTTAGTCACGGTGACGTAATGTGCTCAGTATCCAGGCTGACAGGATGTTGTTTCCATGGTGACAAGGTAATTGGTCTCACCTGGTTGGATGCTCTCCAGGGCATCCCACTCCTCTTGTGCTCGCTCCACCTCCAAGCTCACCTCTAGACAGACAAAATTACACACACACACACACACATTGTTGTTGAACTGTTGAACTACTGACATCATTCTGTGTAACAATGTTTCTGAGTGATGAAGTCTTTACCTTCTGTTTTAGTCTGATTGCCTCCTGCTGCCAGAGACTGTAAGAGCCCATTCTGTTTCAGCGCTGAGATCTACACAACCAAAAGTTCACACCATTACCATCGCTATTCAAACCAGGAACACAGAACATCATGTGAGTTTAAGTGAAATGCTCACTGGGACAGTTTTGAGATAAGGGTTGCCATTCAAGTTGCCATTGTCTTTGATGCCATTAGCTGGAGTCAGTCCATTTAGGATCTATATAAAAAATACAAAATACATCAACAGGAAGCAACCATGATGCATGCAGATATTCACAAGATCTGGTTTCATTGAACATATTTTAGCAGTGTGTTCTCACAGTTGTGCATTTGGATTGCCCATTGGTTAGATCCTCTGTCTGTTTACATTCTTGTGGAAAACCATTCAAGCCCTAAAAGGAAGAAATAAAAAATACATATATAATACAGTGTTTCTGCTACATTCATTCTGCCGTGGTGGGCTGCCACATCAAAAATCATCCCCACCACGGCTTCACCTTCTCAGTGACATCATAGTGCCACTCAGTACCGTCGCAAGGGCTGTGCCAAGTGTGCGACCGCACAGGGCCTCGCGCCTCTAGAGGGCCTCGCTCCTGGCCTGCATTTTATGTTGTTTACGTCAAATTTGTATTACTGTTTTTCCACCCATTTTGTCCTTTGAAAGACTAAAATAGTCATAGCTGATAGACAGTATAAGACTCTGTGTATAAGAATGAGTAAAGAATCGCATCGGCAATGAATCGCCTGCGATTTTGAACGCAATTTTGTGTAGCTTGTCAGTGATCTGACAGTAAATGCCTCTGTGTAGTAAATGCCGCTCCATCTGAAAGCACGTGCTGGAGATTTACTACTAATCACCAGAAGCGGCTTTACTGACGAGATGCGCATGAAAATCACATTCGATTTTTTGCACAGCCCTAGTTGTTAGGATGACAAAAAGTTTTAAAAGTTAAACTTTTAGGCTGGTCTGCCTCAGTGGTCTAACAGCGCTCGTCAATGTCAAAATGATCGAGATGGCCAATCAAATCAAAGAAGGCGGGCCTTACTGTCACTGTCACAACACAACGAGAGTTCGTGGAAACATGTAAGTAGTACTATATTAGAAAACTTTTACGATAGAAATGTTCAGCGACCGACAGTAATAGACTATCTAGTGATGCAAACTACTCAACTTTTTATTAAATTTCACCGTTTCGAATTGAAAATATGCGATTTTTACAAAGCTCATTGTTCTGAAAAGCGAGGTGTGCTCTGATTGGCCAGTTATCTAGTGCTTTGTGATTGGCCAAATACCTCAAGCGTGTGACGGAAATGTTACGCCCCTTACCATATGCCGTGTCCCGGAGCGACGAGACAAAACCAATAAAACCCATTATAAACGAGGCATTTGTTGCATCCAGTGGGGACATAATTACGGATTATAATGACTTATACTGTCTTTTTATGCGTTGCGTTGCATCGCGCCGCGTAAACATAAAACCATGTCTGCATTTGTGATCGGAGAAATGGCAAACAACAAGCGCTACTCTACGCTGCTCAAAACTCGCGTTTGAATCATCAGTGACAAATTCTTTAAATGAAAACGTACTTACACTCTGTGAGGCACAAGAGCCGGCATTGTAGTCTACTCTAC